CGGTACTAAGCGTGATAATCTCTAATATCTCATCTGATTCTCCCAATATGTAAAGGGTCTTTACAATGACAGCATCCAACCGCACATACATAGAAACAAAAATATTACACAATTAACCAATAAATTCGGAAAATTTCTCAGTAATGTTTGAAAATTAACCTTACTAAAATATAAGTGAATTTTTATTTCAGTTGTAGCCGAAAAAAATATTTTTCATGCGTTTAAAGTATCGTTTTAGCACTGTAATATGTACTTATTACATGTATCTATACATTTGGATGCTATCTTGACCTTTGACCATTGTTATTGTGAAAACAGGTCGGCCATGTTGTCTTTCTCGCCGTCAATTTTCGAGCCGTTTTTTCGAGCAAATTTCAACCGTTTTAAACATTTTACGGCCTCAAAAACTCATATAACGAGGAAAACAAGTTGTAGTTGCTATTTTCATGCGTAACATTTCTTCTGGGGATGGATTATTTTTCCGTCGAGCTGCCGAAAACTTAGCACCATGCCGCAACCATGTGGTCGGGCGCGGCCGGCCGGCGGGAGTTTTACTTTGTATCGGTGAGCTTTCGCGATTTAAACAAAGACAGTCGGAGTTGTTTACAGAAAATTTTGTTGTGAAACGCCAGCGGGGTGTCAGATTTTCTACCAATGACAACGTTTTCTTTGCGGCGTCATGGCGAGATCGACAATTCATCGTCAATTCACAGGATTGTGCCAACAATGGAAATTATGAATTAAGCGGCCCGACCCGTGCAATTAGCGCTCGATCCACGCCGCCCGACCGAAGAAAATTGTAATGACGAGCACATTTATCGGGGATAAAACCCCCAATTTTGAAAACCGACCGCTAGCCGCTCGAAATTTTTGGTCGGCCCAAAAAAGGCTAGGGTCGGGGGGTTTTTCATAGGGTCGGTCGGGTAACCGGAAACACAACATTTTTTTTCCTAGGCCTTATATCCCTTAACCCTACTATATCATTTCTGCATTCCTTCGACTCCAGTCCTGAAAAGAGATTTAGTCCCTTTGCAGCTAGTTTTACGTCAAAATTGGTCAGTTCCAGGGCTGTAGAAATCAATGAAATCTTTGGACTAGCTCCAGAGATTATCTAAATATTTGTTAAAATGAAATGTCAATAAATTGATCCTTTTGTTTTGCAGCGTGTGTGTTTCCTGCCCTGCCGCGCACCCAGCGTGCCACGGCCTTCACTCTGGGAGGAGACCCTAAAGGCAAGAACATCCTCTACTGCTTCGGGCAGAGTGTCGTCATCAGGGATCTAGAGGTGAGTCTGACCCTTACATGTAATCAGTCTGCTGAAGGTACTTGTTTTCTGACAACTAGTTCTGGCTGTAGAAACTCTATACAATGAAGTTGTCATGATGTGCTGTTGGTTTGCAATTACTACATGTTATTTGTTTGTATTTCTCACCTTTGTAGAACCCAGCTATCGCAGATGTTTACACACAACACGTGGCTAAGACGACAGTCGCCAAGTATGCTCCCAGTGGCTTCTATATTGCATCTGCAGGTAATATTATAGTCCTTGTGGCACTATGATCAAAATACAGTGTAACTTGTAATGATGTTCTGTTACACTGATCATGTACATGTATGTCCCAATTTGAATGTCATCATATACTAGTACGTTGGAATTTAGAATTTACCATTAGCCAAGTTATATAGCCCTGGCAATACTAGAACTTGCTGTTTTTAGCTGAAATATACAGTGTATTAATTCTATAATTACTGTGGGCATTTATTGTTAGACCAGCAGTAATATGTAAAGATTACAGGTGAGAACTTGCCTGTGTTGGAAAATAGTTGGAACTTTCCTGTACTGTTTAAAACCAGCCTGGCATTTTAGTCAAGCATACTATTTACATGTCTGTCTTTTCCACGTGTAGATGAGAGCGGAAAGGTGCGTATTTGGGACACCACGCAGAAGGAGCACATCCTGAAGTACGAGTACCAGCCAATAGCGGGAGCCATCAAGGACATAGCCTGGTCACCTGACAGCAAGAGGATTGCTATCTGTGGAGATGGCAAGGAGAAGTAAGCTCTAGTGATGATTGTGGTATCTGAAGCTGGAGTAGCAATATCTTGGCAGCAGTACCTCCCAAAAGTATCAATTGTGATTCCTGGTAAAACTTCAAACTGTCCAAACTCTAAAAGTTCAAACTGACACAAACCTTTAGCCTCAAAAGGGGGACTCTTCAGCAGGTAATCTATTGGAAAATAAGAACCATTTCCCGATCCGGACTTGCGTGCTCCTTAAACAAACTTGCTTCTTGCTGCCTTTGTCAGAAGTTCAAATCTGCTGTTCTGTGCCTGTTCCCAGGTTTGCCCATTGTTTCCTGTGGGACACTGGCAGCTCTGTTGGCGAGCTTGTGGGAATCAGCAAAGTTGCGAACTCCATCGACTACCGGGCGACACGGCCCTTCCGCATCATCACAGGAGGGGACGACAACACCACAACCTTCTACGAGGGACCACCTTTCAAGTTCAAAATGTCGCTTGCGGTAAGAACATTCAGCATTTCTCTAAACTGTGTAAAATGGTATAGGTTTTTTGTTGTTGTTAAGGGTACAAAGAGCTGCACCAAATCAAAAGTGTAAAAGTTATATTCAACTGAGGGACAGAAAACACCCAAAACTTAGCAACTGCAACATACATAATAAATATGTATAAGTTATAAGGAGAAATACTTTCATCATAATATTTAGTGTCAGCCTATATGAATGAAAGTCAGGAAGAGGAGATTTCTTTGTTTTAACCGGCTCGTCTCCTTCCCTTCAGGAACACACACGTTTTGTGAACTGTGTACGATTTTCCCCGAATGGTGAGAGGTTTGTAACAGTCGGCGCTGATGGCAAGGTATGTATACTTTAGTTATATAGGTTTAATAAGCAATACCTATTTCAAATTTGTTTTGCACTTCAATTGCATAGGCAATGTTTTCATGAGAATCAGTCTGGTAAATGCTGATGATGTTAACTAGTATTTTGTTACATGTGCACAATGTAATAAACTAGAAATTTGTTTGAAGCATAGAATGTATATCATTTATTGTAACTTTTTAAAACCCAATGCTATAAGTAATACTGATATTTGTGATTACGTGTAGTTCAGGTTATTTTCAACTTTCTTGCAGAACTGTTTCAGCATGCCACTTTGTATTCAACTTGTTTCCATTTATTTATTGCCTTCCAGGGCTTCATATATGATGGTAAAACTGCAGAGTTGATAGGTGAACTGGGAGGTGGCAAGGCTCATGATGGGGGGATCTACGGGGTGAGTAGACTTTCATACAATTTATGTATGTAGTGTTTTGATACTACATGTAGGTCTATATTTCAACTGCCTAAGCGTCAGTAGAATGCCAACAATGCAACCAACTCGTGGCTGTAATTATAATGTTTTCTAGGTACAAATCTATAGTATTATATTGTTTTGGGTGGTTGAGCTTTAGTCTGTGTGTCTTTTTGTCTGGACAGAATAGGTTGATATTACATGGTTGGGGGTAAGATCGACAGGCAGAATGACAGATCTAAAGGAAAGAGACGTGACATGGGGTAAACTCAAAGGTCACAAGAACCCAAAATATGTCCATAAAGTCTGAAATCTCTAATTACTAATTGTACTTGTAGTTGTACTTGTTTTTTTAGCTTTCATGTTATGTCGCTTTCTGACTTTCCTTTCTGTGTTCTGATGGTGATAGTGTTCTTGGAGCCCAGACAGCAACCAGCTGATCACATGCTCAGGAGACAAGACTGTCAAACTGTGGGACATGGAACAAAACTCTGTGGTCAGGTCAGTGTAGTTTAGTTTCTATTGATCGTTTTGTCTACGCCTTGGGTGAAGTGCCAGCTGTGTGTATCAAGCTGTACTGATATTTGTTGTACCGGTATTTGTGACGTCCCCACCAAATTGCATAATTATGACATTGAAACTCAACAGATGCTAATAACATTCAACAATGATAAGTATTATGCAATAAACAAAGATGTTTGTACAAAATATACACGTCTGATGTTAGGGAACATCAAATTGCAAATCATGATGCCGATGACGTCTCAGTGTAAATATGACTACCACACAATCAAAGCTAAGGTAGGCAGTATTAGAAAATGACAAGGTGATGGTTTATTTTTGTGCCCTTCCCTTCAGTACGTTTGTGATGGGGAAAGACATAGAAGACCAGCAGCTGTCCTGTCTGTGGCAAGGGGACTACCTCCTGTCGGTGTCGCTGAATGGGTACATCAACTACCTGGACAAGTCCAACCCATCCTCTCCCATTAGGATAGTCAAGGTCGGTATAACTTGTCAAACATAGAACATAGTCTAACTGTTAAGGCCAGTTATCCAGATGTAGTCTCTTACATATAACATATTTACTTTCGGGTATGGAAGTAGAATTTGTTTTGGGTGCCTGAGATGTGGGTTTGTGTATATTTTTGTCTGGTTGACAGTATGTGGGATGGGGGAAGATTGACAGGCAGAATGTCAGACACAGGAAACAGGGTGAAAATGATGGGTCAGAATCTAGCTGGGAGACAGCAGAAGTTAGTGGGGGATTCGAGGATGCTGAGATCACATACCTTTCGTAGATATCTGACATCTCCAATTCTGTGTTTTTTACCCAGGTTTTTACTCATTAGCTAGATAGATTTTTGTGTATAACCAAAGGTGTGTTGCAATTTTTCCCCACAGGGTCACAACCAGCCTATTTCTTCCATGGCTCTTTCTGAGGACAAATGCACAGTCTACACGGCTGACAACAGTGGCCGTATCAATATCCTTTTCAACTGTGAAGCCAATACCGCTGTCCTGATAGCTTCAGTGGCACGGTCTGTGGGAGGTGATTTTGACAGGTGATTGATAGGGAGGTGGAGTAAGTGGGTGGTATATGGAGGAGTTCAGGAAGTGTGATACCTGATCAAATTACATCATACAATTCCCTCCACAGTTCCCATTCATAGACAAAAACGCACACTTCCCAGACCTGTCACACCTAACTGTTGGCGGCACTGTTGCACATCTTTCTGCAATCATAGTTTAAAGCGAATTGATGATTCCCCTACTGTGCTTGGTGGCAAGGAGTTCCACTCTCCCATAGTTCTAGAAAAAAAAAGAGATTTTGAATACGTCAATCCCAGGTTGATTAAAAAACAAAGTGGTACCAATGGGCAATCTGCCATAGTAATACCATGGTTACCTGCTTATTAGTTAACCATTTAGCATAGCAGTTAATTAGTGCCATACTACAGTGTAGTTGCATTCAAATGTACTACATGTGGCAGCACAGCTGTGAATATTGCATGAAGATTGGGTGTTCCTTAACCACTCTCACCCCACTGGGACACATCCACGGGTGCACATGACGTCATCTGTGGCAAGGGTCACAAGAACAAGGTGTCGGGTATGGGGGTCCAGGGGGGAAACCTCATCACCTGCAGTATGGACGACAGTGTCAGGTACACCCATGTACCGGGGACAGAGTACGGGTAAGCTAACATTTCTTCTTTCTATTCTTTCTTGCGTAGCTGGTCCTTTTCACGTTGATATATAATACTGGTACTTTCTGTGCTACCAAATCTACCAACAGAATAGCTTTCAGTACCATGGACAGCCACTGTCTATTTCCTTACATCTAACTCTAGGTGTCTAAGTCATAGTCTTTTGAGACTTAAGTTCTCTTTGTGTCTGGATTTATATACTTTGTAAGTTATAAAGATTCTTTGCTATCAGGTAAGAGTAGCCACGGTTCCAATTTTAACACTTGTAATACTGTGTTCAGACCAGATGCTGTTACCATGGACTCACAGCCCCAGGGTGTTGGATTGGGCAAGGATGGTCTGTCAGTGGTGGCCTGTACAAATGAGGTGAGCAATGCATCATTCCACACTGTCACTACTTCTCATTGTCTGGTAAAATGTTGAAAAGTTCTTAAAAACCCCATAGGTTGACATATTACCAGTAGTATTTTACACAATACAAATACATTGAGCAGCTGGATAAATTGACTGAGGAGTCAGACATTTCAGATAGCATCCACTGTGTTTCGTCAGTGGATAAGAAGTTGTTTTAGACCATTATTTTATATCAGTGAGTTGTAGCTCAAGCTTTCGGAGAGCTGACCAGTTTAGCTTTAAGAATAGGAAAATATGCCATGCCTTCCTACAATTTAACATACAGACACTGTCTCTACTCAAATTGGTACCCGTACAATTCAACAGAATGCATGTAAATAGGGACATCATCATGGCATACCTAACATCTGTGTACAGAGGTATTGTTTTGGGTGTGTTTGCCTGTGTGTTCGCACAGGTGAGTGATAGCATGTGGGTGGGGGAATTCCCTAACCACAGACCACCACAGATCACAATCCACTCTTGTTTCCAGGTGGTTGTGGTGAGAAACGGGAGGAAGATGTTCAGCCTGCCTGTGGATTTCGAGGTGACCGCGGCTGGCATACACCCCAACCAGACTCAGGTCGTCGTGGGAGGCAAAGCGGTCAGTATTCTCCAATCTGTTAGAAAATAAGCAAAGAAAATCTTGTATCAGTAGCACAGGTAAATCATCATGATTGTAAATTCTGACCTTTTTCAAATTGGGGTAGTGTGGCGTAACAGCAGAGTACTTGACTCGGAACCAAGAGGTCACCGGTTCGAGTCCTGACATGCCACCGATCTTGTGCCCTTGGGAAAGGCACTTAGCACGACTTTCCCCACTTAACTCAAGCGAAAATGAGTAGTCTGTCCTGTATCTGTTTCTATGTGTGGGACACAACACCGGCAACAGCTGCCTGTGCCCCACATGTATTGCACTGTTGCAATTTCAATAACATCAAATCAAATTACACAGGGAAATCCGTAGCCATTATTTTGTGTGTCGTCCCTGTAACAGGACAAGAAGCTGCACGTGTATAACCTGGCAGGAGACACCCTGGTGGACTGTAAGACGGTCCCGTTGAAGGACGCCGTCACCGCCTTTGCGTTCTCCCCCGACGGCAGGTACCTGTCCTGCGCCCAGACCTCCAGACATATCACTACCTTGGACGTCACTGCAGGTTACGAGGTAAGGTCACTCTGTCCCTTCCCATGACAATGGCATATGTATGTATTGTTACTGCATTTCTCAACAAACTGCATTACTTCCATCCCCTGCTAGGTGGCTCTTCTGCCCTGATTAGTGATAGAGAGCTAAGTAACACTTTCTATTTTGTCTACTGATTTTCAAGTCAGTGTTTGAATTAGTCCAGGAAATTTGTCAAGAAGTCCATAAATCAAAACTCTTGTCAAAATCAGCTCTTGAAGAGTGATATGCCTGTTTTTAATCTGAGTGACCTTTTCGTTTTAGTGTATTTTTTGCTGTCAAACTAAAATGGTAAAAAGAAGCCTAGATGCACTTAATGCCCTGTGTGATAGCCCAGTCTCACAAGGTGCAGACCCCTGCTCCTGTCATGTTATGCCTAATGATGCAGTCACATTTGTTGTACGATTTTGATGTTGTAAAACTTTCAAGCAGTTAGTGACAAAAGAAAGCAAGCTGGATTTTCTATGACCTAATCATAGCTTGGAGATGAACTTACAGTTGCCTGCGCTGCAGCCCAATGATGAATCACATGGATCCCAAAAGTGGCTTTGTACAAACGCACAATGAATGTTACAGAGCCATTCCCAAATCCCTGTCTGTCTGTTCCCTCCAGATCATCCAAAACCTGGATGCATGGATGCAGAACGCCAAGGTGACCTGTCTGGCCTGGAACCCCAGCAGCACACACCTGGCCAGCGGCTCTCTGGACACCAACATCATCATCTGGACTCTGGCCAAACCCTTCGACAGGTTCGAGCTGAAGGGTCAGTATACGTTTCTCATATTTATGTTTGTTTTGAATTTACCTATGAGTATATACTAAATTTGAACTGATAATTTGACACCAATCAGAATTAATAGAGTTTGAATAGAGTGTAACAATCTTGATGTTCAATGTATTGTTCTTCTTCCATATTTTTATCATATACATTCCACTAAAAGTTAGTTGTAATAAATCCGTTTTTCATGCAAATGCAACAGTTTGGTAAATAGTGTCAGTCTTACAAAGATGCATCTTAAAATGTGTACTCTTACAAAGCTATACTGTTACTAAGCCATACTTTGATAACACTTCTGGAACATAGCCGTTTGCTATACGACTGGTATGTCGTTCTGAACTCTACATTCTCCTCCTCAGGTGCCCATCCGATGAGCCAAATTGTAGGAGTTGACTGGTTGTCAGACCACAAGCTCATCTCCGTAGGAATAGACAACAGCATCCGGGAATGGGACATCAAGTTGTGAAGTGCCTCCTACCCACAATGCACCAGGAGATTGACCTCCATCTTTTATCACCAATAACGACCAGTCACATTATATAACGTGTCATCTAAGGTTCTTTTCTAAACAGCTTCTAGACTTAAAGTTTCAGATTTCAATAATTTCTATTATAACTTTTTTGATAGTGTGAAATATGGGAGAGGCAGGACAGCTTTCAATGACATATTCCTATGGTAGCTAACTTGAAGTATGTAGCATCAAGATGGATTTGTCTGTCTCGGTGTAGTAAGTGATAAATTTTCCATCATGCTGAATATCTTGGCCCAGCATGTTTCAATGTCATGCAGTGGTCAAGATTGAAATATATTCCTTTCTTGAGGAGCTAGCTGTTGAGAATTGCTCTTGGTAGACTTTTGTGTACGGTTTAGCAACTGAAGAGAAGGATGAAATGAAGAGGATAGCTGGTTACCTAAGGAAGGCAAATGAATGTAATGACAGGAACACCCCTATGGTATGTTCCAAAGTCCCTACGCTCTGACAAAGGGTTAGGGTTTTCAGAGCTAAGGTTGAGTTGTCGGAACATAAGAGTGTTGGAACATAGGGGTGTCAGAACTTAGGGGTGTATACATAACCAACTAGACTGCCTTGGGAGTACTACAAGATCAATGGTAATTCTGAAAATGGTGACTCAGAGATATGCATGTAATGGTTTAACTGCAGTGGCTAAGTGTTCCATGTGATTTAACTTGCTGCTTAGAAAGGCAAGTTTCAATGGAAGAAAACTTTGCATCCTTGTCAATGAAACAAGTCCAAATCCTCCAAGAAAGGAAGTAGAAGGAATAGATTAATGCATCAGTGGTAATAGTTATGGACGAAGAGAAATGATACATACATGTAATACAATTTATGGAACTAAACAGACTGGTACAAACCTGATTATAGTATGTTGTAACTAAGGTTCTCAAGCAGTGGCGAAAGATTATATTCGTAGAGTCATGAAATGAGCAATAGATATGAATCTAGAATGTGTTCAATTTTGGAGTCGCTAAATTATGCCATAGGCAATGCGCAGGATTACCATAATGATTATTATAGTTACCCGTACAATAATGCAGCTATACTATATGTTACAGGTAAACAGATGCAAATAGGTCTGTGAGCATTATTGTGTAATGGTATGCTCAGTATCAGTGGCTCGGTAAAGTTTATCTGTAGGAATATTACCAATCCATTATCATTACCTAATGAATAACCTTTCACATAGATTATTATCCATCACCAATTGTAGTCCTCATATGTTTAGCTTATACCGATCCAGCTGTCTGATATATTCACAGACTTATATTCACATTATGCAAAGATAATTACATCAAACTCTCACATCTTGGTTCTATACCCTCCAGTTGTGAGGGTTTTGAATGATTTAAGTGCACTTCTTTGGACATGACTGCCATGTGGAGGAAACTCTTAAACAAAACTTCTAATCGTCTCGGTTTTCACTGTTTGCCATCGATACATGTATGCAAGGTCATTGACATCAGAAAGGTCAAATAAACTTCACCTGTGGTGTTTTTTTTAGCAAATGAGGAGCATCCGAGGATGATACTCATGTTGGGCATTGTGTGAGAAACCGTTTTCCAGAGGATCTTTTGTATTAGACTCTGATACTGAAGCTGTGACCAAAACTAAGACCTTCCACCCTGGCAGCTATACTGTTCTTCACATAGACCTGTGATGATTAATGGTACTTGTATCTGTGAACTCTGTATTTCCTCAATATGGTATACTAGTAAGTGATAGGTCTGGAAGTACATGTACATGTATAAGGTATGGTATACTGATACCAGAGCCCGCTATGTGTCTACGTGTATTATACATTAACAGGACGCTGCATTTCAGAATTAATGTGAAGGTCTGCATATTCTGAATGTAATAATCATCATGATGTGCAAGAGTCAATGAAACAACTTCGGTGTTCCCTAGCCTGTCTATGGTAACAGACACACGCACAAAGTACAACAGAAACTGAGGCCTTTCCAATATCTCTCAACAAATCAGGAAGTCCTGTCTCTGATACAACTGAATCTATCACCCTGGACATCTGTAATATTCTAGTACCGTATTGTATACACTTTTGTATCAACCTATATATGTTATGAACCTAACTTGAGAAGAAGAATGTACATGTAGCTATTCTACGGTTAGTTGCCTAGCAAACTGTGGTGTGAAACCTTGTCTATAAGAACAAAATAATACGCTTATCTGAGATAAGATTGTTCAGCTCGATGCCATCTGTCTTGTCTTTAGATATTAGGGTACCATGATTTATTTTATCATTAGCCAGTGCTGTTAAGTATGGAAATTCGTTAGCAAAGACTATAATTTCAAGCCAGCTGTGTAAATTTTCATGTCGTTTTCATCTAGTATTTGAAATGAAATCAAACACACGCTTGCATTCATGAACTCTTTGTAACCGCAATTATGTCAATGGCGCACTGAAAGGGAAATTACGCTCATTTTACAATTATGGCTCAAGTACTAGGGGTAGTTGGCAATTCTGGGACTGACAACTGCTAAAGGAGTCCACGTAGAAATAGGTATGTGTGATGGAGGATAGGGGCTGGTGGGCAGCTGTGTTGACTTAGGAAATGACCTTCAACATAAAGGATAGATAGCCTCACTGGTATATTTTTCCTTCTATGTAACAATATAAACTCATCATAATTCACGCAAATATCATAATTATATGATTCTATAGATTTTGGTTAGTCCATACTGGTGGATTTGAATTTTCCATGCTACGACATTTTACGCCAGAAATAAAGAGTATGATTCTGACATTATGTGCTGTTTGGATATATGTGTCTGTCTTAGTTTTAGTATAAAAGTAACTATTAAATGTCGGATAATTCATACATGTTAGTATCACTAATTTCTAGCTAGCTGGTCTGTTGAGAGGTTAATAAGTGCCAACATTAGCACACAGGACAAAGACACTGGAAAATCTAATATATATGTTCCACTGACTCCAGTACATGTATTAAAATAAAAATAAAGATATTAATTTGCTCGGCCTGGTGTATTGAAAAACATGTAATGTTAATCTTTGATATTGAGTTTCGTCTGTCGATACTAGTGGATGAAATTAGATTAGATACAGCAAAACCTCTGATGTGACCTATTATCAAACCACAAAACCAGCAACAAGGCCTGATAAATGCTTCTGAAAACATTGTGGAATTGGTGAAAAGCCCAGAAATGGTTTGACCTTCTGAACCTGACACCGAGTGTTGGTGCTCTCCTTTTTCTGACTGCTCTTTCATCCCTCAGTGTCAGCCTCCTCTTTTCTTCCCATGTTTGGCTTCTTCCCTTGTCAGTGTTTGGTGAGACAACTCCTCCATTGTGTGTGGGTCCAGCCAAGGCTGGTAGTTGGTCCTGGTGATGCTACAGATGGGGGAGACATGCATAGTAAGAGCATCGTTTACCATCACAAAAGGAGCAGGGATTGATGCCAACAGGGGGAGGCAGTATGTTCCTTTTTTAACGGAAGCGAATCCTCTTAAAAAGTTAAAGAATATTTCCGCCCATGTTACGAAGTTCTGTAGATGAACAGTATGCAATTCTAGAGCGATAAGCACTGCCCTCCCGAATTATGTTTTGAAAACCTTTAACAGAGTTTCTAGTGCACTTGCACAGTACCAGGGACTTCCCCCAGAAATGGACCATTCTCCAGCGGAAGTATTTAATGGGTAAATGTCTTAATAAGGGTTCCGACAGGACCAACCATTTCCTCCCAAGGGCCTGGCTAATTTCCACACAAGACCTCAATTTCCTGCATCATTATTTTTGAATATATGTGATGATAGGGGGTGGTTGTGGGGCTCACCCCCCGCCTGGGAGGACATAAAGGCTGTGTCCGCGGCTCTACATCGTACACTGATGGCAGGTTTCAGACTGCGAGCACACGCAGAGGCGTCTGTGTTGAGCCTTCCAGCTACAGCACAAGAGAGGTGAGTCTGCCAAGCTACCACTGATACCGTTCTGCTAAAACAGTTTTGTACTTGCATGCTAAAATTACAAACATGGCTGTATATTAAGACGAATGTCAGATGTACATTGTATGTTCCAAATTGTTCTACTCTTGGTTCTCTGTACTAAAAGGCATGTAAAAGTTAGCAGAAGTTTTCCTTTACATGCTGACGGAAAACGAATATAAGCATATGAATTTCAAAGTTCCCTTATTTTTGACTCCCATGAAAGGGACTGTGACTGCCATATTGGCTATTTTACCAAGTATGATCTGACAAAAAAATGTGTTTATGTTGTGATTATTGCTTTGTCTCACAAGACCCCAAACTATGTCTACAGTTACATTGAAGTGTTGCAATTCAAAATTAAATGGCCCCTCTATTTTTTGAGGACAACACTATATACAGATCAGGATGGACATAGAAATCCTTAGAGGTTTATAGCAGGCAGAAATAAATCAAGAAAACTATTGGTTCATCATAACTGGTGCTATATGGCATTAGATATTACATGGGTCTGACTTGTGTCTTCCATATGCCTGTGATGTTCACTCATAAGTTTCTATTAGTACTGATAGATATTTCCACTGTTAGTGTTACTTGTTTACAGCCATCGTGTTGTTTGTTCTTTTAGTGTGTTATCTAAACAGTCATCATCCTCACTACAGTAACTATATTCTATCATGCTAAGTTGCACATTGGGCTGCTCTGAGTCAAGTGGAATTCATGCAAATGTAACAAAAGATGTTACACAACAGCAACAGTTAGCCTTTAATGGTTTGGGAGAAGTTATCATCTGTCCAGCTTTCCTCTTTCTTTTCTAAGTCCAGATTTTGCTGAAAGCACTTTCTCATTTCTGTTGACAATGCAATTTTTCTCAAGACAATCTTATACAGGCAAGGAGTGGATTCAGATGCATCCCATCTTTTTTCAAGGATCTTGAAGGAAGGAGATACATGTATGAGCAATAGTTTGAGATGAAAGCGACTGTCTCTGTGCTAAGTAGTACTGCCGCAGGGAGTGCTGCGGACTGATTCTATCCCCTGCGCAGTCCTACTTACAACAGGGAACATTTCTAATGCTTCAAACCGTCCTGACCAACCAGGAGGGCCAGAAACAGTTGCCATGGAAGTCACGCCCATCTGAACACCATTTTTGTCTTAGGTATACTTGATTTGAGGATGTCCACTTTCCTAGCAATGGATACGACTTCATTGGAAATTTTGGACAGTCAAAAATAACTATTGTCCTGGGAAATCCCATATCAGGTCAATCTAAAAGCAAAAGAAACCAACCTTTCATAGAGCTTTTCCTACTTGTTACTAGAATGTACAGTTTGCGCTGTTTCCAGTGTACAAGGTATGTAAGGTACGGAAGATAGCAATGATGGTAGAGAAATGGTAGTCATTGTACTGTGGTACAGAGAAATGCATTAGTCTTAGACCAAACTCACTGTATACTTTGTATGTTGGTTCATACATCGCCTTTTCTGATATAGACAATCTATTTGCATGAAGATGACAACATCCAGAGTTGCAAAGACTGGTACATCAGGAGTGCCAATGACTGGCCTGCTCCATGCTAAGTACTAGTGCCGCAGGTGTCTGTGTTTCCTCGAACCCCTGCAGACTGGTGCTTAACATGGGACAGGTAATACTGCCACCTAGCTATTGGTACAGGTATTACAACAAGTGAAACATACATTCAGTTGGTATATCACCCACAAGTTAACAGGTACTACGTAGGTGCCTGGCTAGGACCTTTTCTAACATAACAAAAATAAAATTAAGCCAATCCTGGATGTGTTTTTCATGTTTGATTTGGTTAAGAATTAATGTAAAGGAAAGTAATCAAAAGACATTACAATTATATTGTTCTTACAGTATGCTTTTATTTTCAGGTCTTTTTCCAAGCTCATGACATAATATTTGCCAATTATTTAATATTGCATTTGCTTCCTTCCACTGTTTCACCAAAACATGTGGTTACATATACGAGTTTTGTAGAATCTAATGAATGAAAAATCAAGACTGGTATTATCTAGTACATTCAAGTAAATGTCAAAGACATGTACAAGAGAAAGTGATTTTATATCAAAACACTTGTTTTCATATTGCACAAACAATGTTATCAAAAATGAATTATTCAACTAGCATGGATATGGCTCTGGTCTATATATTAAACATTGTGTGCAATACAACTGCAAACTGTCTTTGTCATTTCTTATGAAAATGCTTCACATCTGATAATGTAAAACATGGGCATTTTGTACCTTTTTCAAACACTGTTAAGATTTAATTATTTTGTGTCTATGTTACAATCTTATCTTTATTGACCTATTGATATGATTGACATGTATCCAGGGCTATCCATATCAAATTACTGGTACCTTTTAATGTCAGCAACAAATGATCAAAGTACTCAACTTATAGAAATGTACAGATCAGCAGTTTGTGGAAGAACACTAGACATGTGTATTATTTCAATCAGCCTACTAACTTCACTATGGTCCCAGACCTTCCAATTAATAGAAGCTTCACTGTACAACAATAAACTTTAAGATGAAATAAAGACCACCGTTTTTGTCTGTTGCATATATGCTGATCATCATAGAATTGAAACTGTTAACAATAACTAAATTTTCACAGCATACAGAAATATTACAACCTTGTCCATGATGTACATCATGTGTATTGTGCATGCCAACTGTGACTACAGGTAACTGCACAATGGCACAAAATCTTCATTTTCTATAGATATGGTGCTTGTCACAACTACAGGTAAAGTTTTCCAGTTAACACTTCAGATAAATACAGCAGCTCATCTCCTGAACAATTGTCTTCCTCAGCCTCGATCACAGATGACCTCAATAACCTGTAGGTAGAAGGTAGTGCATTTCAAAACCATGTAGAGAAAAAATTTCCATACTAATTACAGTACAAGTCTCGTAGATTTAAAATTTTATTTATCAATAAGTAAACTTTAATAAAGAAATATACAAATCATGGTTCTTCTGAACAAAATAACCCAACCTTTTGTTTTGTCACAGTCTGCAAGGCACTTCAAATTGAAGTTAAAGTTAGAGGGCAACCCATGCTATTCCATACAAAAGTTAATAATATGAATACTCACACTAGGTTCCATGGTTACAGGATCTAAACATCGGTGGATGGCACTGCCCACTATTTCATCTAGTAGGGTGTGCACAAGGCTGTAGGAAAGAAATTGTACACTTTCATCCTGAAGCAGAGATCCAGAATAATGTCAACAAAACACTTGATAATAATAAATAATATACTAATTATATGTTTATAATATCTATTTTATAAGTTATGATGTCGTTATGATGTCACAGCTTTCAAAATAATGCTTGCTATCAATAGCAAGATGCATATGAAATAGTCATATACATGACATTGTACACAGGTACACATACTACTTGGAGCAGCTGCATTGTTGTGTCAAAATCTGTTTTAAGTGTTTCTCCTTACTTTTCATCGGACACAAATCTCCAGAGGTACATCTGCAGGTAGTGACAGTCCACCTGTATCTGCTGAAGTCCGAAGCGGGCAAACGTACGCAATCTTACACACTCCAAGAACGTCTGGGGAGCAGTAAGTGAACAATGAGTCAAACATTACAACTCCATCTTAAGCTTGACACCACACTATTTATAGGTCTACCTTAGTACAAGGTGCCACTGTCTGTATGTGACTCTCAAACATGCCTTTCATACCTAAAGTGCTTCTCAGTTATCTTTCAACCAATTGTAACAGTGCAATCTTGTACCTTAAGGCTGATCTTGATAATACCAGTGAGGACAGAGACTTTGGAGAAGTCCACGGCGCTGAAGATTTCGATCCTCTCCGAGAACAGCTTCTGTATGTTACTCATCAGGCTGGTGTCCATGTTGGAACTGGAGGGTGAAGACGCAACATGAGTTTAGCAGTGAACGGTGCCTTACATGTGGGGACAGCAGTGTTCTAAATGCAGGAAATTCCATATCAGAGGGTCAAGATTTCAAAAGTTTCACTGGGGAGCATGGCCCAAACCCCACTAGGAGTGTCATGCCAGGTCAACAATGTCATGATGTTACATCAGACGAAGTTGAGATGACAGAAATTTTTTTTAGGTTAAAACACTGGGGGTTGGCCTCTAACATTACATGTATATCTTAAGAGGTACTACCCCTTCTTTGCTAATAGTCGCTTGTGTTTCTGCTGGGAGAGTCTACATTTGTAGAGGCAGAGATGACCTTTTCTCCTCCACTGCCCCCTCCCTCGTTATTTAGTTTGTGTCATTTCAGAGAGTGTTTACCTTGGTGCATAGCTGCTCCACTGAGAGCGCTGGTTTTGTCTGGAGGAGCTGTAGGGAAACGTCCGTTTGCTGGAGTCACTACTGTGGGCCTTCCTCAGCCCTTCTTCATACAGAAGGCCAACCTGCCAGGACAACAGATCACAGGTTGCAGCAAAAATTCATCAAAAGGAACAACGCACAACAGAAAGATGCAAAAAACACACCATTTTGAACTTGTCACAATGTAATTGTTCAACACTCCAACGCCAAATATTTTTCACACATTCATTGCAAGCTAAATTTTCCACCTCACAACACTAATATTAATGCATATAATTTCACTGTGGTTCCGTAGTAGAAGGACAAAGGAGGTTTTTGCAGTGTATTTCAGTACATTAACATTTTTTGAAATAATTCTGTTGTACAACAGTGATATAATTCGCAGTGTCATGGTGGAGAGTTCATCAGAAAACTGAGAAAATAAAACCACTACGAAAGTTTCTGTAATTTACAGTAATAAGTACCATGATGGTTCTGTTGTTAGCCTTACCTGTGAGTCTATAGCTGTGACGTCCTCCACAACTCTCTTCATGACAGCACGGACGTTACGGGGCTCGATGGTGTTCAGCCAATCACGGGTCTCCACACTTTTCCTCAGCATCTACAAATAGCGGTAACAACATTATTATCAGTTCCCTTTTGTTTGCTTCCCAATTCATTACTAAGGCTACAAAGAGTTGTGAGTGTGAATTGACTCGAGTAGTCACCTAAATCTTATATCAGGTTGTCTAATGTGCTTTCATAAAGTCACTACATGTTGCAGTAGTGCATTGTAGACTAAGTACATTTTGTACATGTAACTAGAGATCATAAATATTTTGTTTCTTGAGTTACACTACAGTACAGTAGCAAAGAAGAAATGTAACACAGCTAATCTGTATCACAGAAATCCTCAACCAGAAAAAAATTGAGAACCACAAAACAACACACTACACATTAAATGCAAATGCTGAATTAGCTCTGCCATCCATGATGCAGGCTGGCAATCATTTCAAGTCATTTCCCATGCAGGAGGTAGTTATATGGTGGAAGGAAATTAGGCCACAGCAAGTAAATTTTATGGCTGACATCCTCCGCAGACTCCAAATCTAATGCGAGCGGGCGAAAAAAAAAAAGTCGGACCGAAAAAAACAAGGTTCCTTCATGTTGAAATTTTGACTCAATCATTGTACAAATGGTTTTGATTCAGTGAGAACATCACATATACACATCCAGCATCACATATCACTGCATCAAAGTAAGAAACAAAACATTAAATCTTGTCTCCTATCTTCATAGTTCTGCCATCCACCTTCCGGCATGGCAACAGACATCTTTGCCCATTTTTGGCATGTTGACCACTGTCAAAGGGCAACAAAATTTTATTATTTTTTTTCAAATCAGGCGAAAATTAATGCGCGCGCTGCTGTCATCCATAAAAATTACTTGCTGTGGCCTTAGTAGGTACATTTGGCTCTAGCAGGGGACATATCCATCAAACTGGACAGATTGTTAGCCTATGGGCAGCAATCCAACAGATGGTTTCTCTAGCTACCGGCAAATAACACAGTTCAGACAGAGGTGTAGCCAACAATTTGATTAATGCCCGTGAAATGGTCAAGCCCTGCATTTTTACGTAATGGTCCAGGTGTAGCCAACAAGTCAATCCCTACCTGTGAGATGGTCAAGCCCTGCACTTTGACATAATGGTCCAGGAGTTTCTGTGCCGTGTCCTTAGCCAGGTTACACAGTTCTGACAGCGGTGTCACCGCAGACTTGTCCTCCACCAGAAACTGTTCATCAGTCAGGGATATCTGCAATGGAGATAAACAGTTAGCAACATTCAAGACAATAACAAAGAATTCCAATTATTGTTCTTACATGGTCACTTTGAAGGAAACATCCTTTGGGTCAACTCTTCAATTCATTATCTCACTCCTATACTTGCCTCATTTCTTGTTCTTTCATCTACTCTATTACTGTTTTTATTCATTCTCATATTCTTTCTTTCATTCTCTTGCTCTTTCACTTATTCATCCCTCCCTCGTTCCCTCATCCTACTGACCAGATAGCTGATGGTTGTCATGTCATAGTCCAGACACAGGCGAGACAGCAGGAGGATCAGAGGTGGGGGGGCAGAACTCTTGTCTCCAGAACCCTCACAAAACTCCTGTAAGAAAACACACAGCAGGGTACATAATGAACATCAATTATGTATTGTCTGAAGCACAAATTAAAACAGTTACAACTTTTGATTTTACTTCACTTTCCACAGAATTTTCCTGGCTTACCACTTTTGTGAAAAAAAGGAGGGATTCTACCTTGTGTCAAAGCTTACAGTCAGGACTTATGCAGCTTGCACCTAATGTACATTTGTAGAAAACTAGTGTGTTATGCCTATAAGCCAGAAGACTCTATCTGTACATGGCCCTTAACACTAGGTCTAGAGTGCAACCATCATTTTGAAATGGAATTAAGGATGCCTACTACTACACCTACACCTCTTAGGATGTTTAATGGGTAGATGAAACAAACAATGTGTTGCTTACAGAGCAGGTCGTGAACATGTGTTTGAGGAAGCCCACCACCAGACCTTCCCTCACATCCTGGACACAGAACGGCTCCCGGAAGTACGGCTGCATCGCAAACGTGATGTCTGACTCAATGAAAGCCTGGTTCAATGGAAAACAAAAGACTTTAAATTTTACATGTACTTGTGATGTCTTACCATGTAAGCGTCTAAATCTTCACTTTTCATTTAAAATTATACCAGGTACAATCAATATTTTGTCAAACAAAATTGTTAATTGTTTTGGGATGGATTGACAAGGATTACAAGATGGTGAAAGAGAAAAAATAAGATGACTTAAAAAAATGAAAATGCTGTGCTAACCATACAAAAGGTATAAACTGATGATCTATGAAAATTTCACCAACATCTTCTGACAGCATTTCCCATAAATTGTCAAACAAGGAGAGAAAGAGACAACGAACCCTGAGATCTGACAGCACAGTCTTGAGCTGGTCTAAGATGGAGGTGGCAGTAGTCTGCAGCAGGTCTCCCAGGTTACTGCCCTCCTGTTTACTGAGGGAGCGCGAGGCAGCCAGGCTCTGTCGCACGTCTGTCAGGCAGTCTGTACAACACACCAACAAAACATGGTGCATGAAACAAAGTTCAGAGAATTCAAAATGTTCTGGGTATTTGTGAAAGTATTGGAACTGTGGAAGGGATGTCATGATGAAATATAATCATCTATTTCACCACTTCCTGAATTCCTCCACAGGCCGCCCGCTTAGTCCAACCCAAAGCGTGCCGGGTCATCTATTTCACAATACAACAATTGAGATGAACTCATGATCATGAACTGACCTGCAAAGTGTCTCCTGAGTGCTTCAGAGTAGTGGATGACCCTGTCATGAGCCATCTTGGCTACAATATCAGTAGCAGAGCTGGAAAAAAGCAATGTTGAATTTCATTATATCAAAAGTTCACTCGTCAATAATATGATCAAAACAGGAACTGTAAGTTAGAATTATATTAGCTAAACCCAAGAGACAGCTCCCACCTTGTAGACTCTGTCTCAGGTAGAAGTTTCTCCACTGCCTGTAGCCTGCGATGGAAGCGGTCCAGAGCTCGCACCAACAGGGTGTTGTCTGAGGACTCTTTCTGTTAACAGAAATATCAAAATTTGTCTTAAGCCTTAAACACTCTTTCTGCTGACGTCCTGCTGACTTCTGGCAACATTATTGGTACTGGTTAAGACATCAGGGAGAAGGTGGGCACAACGGATGGACTGTGTACCAACTCAAATTTAGAAACTTTGCAAAACTTAATGAAAAAGCTAATAAAACAGGTTTCTAGACAGCCTGACATCCCTTTCTCCATTTAAGTTACTGCTGCAACTATAGAAGGAAGGGAGGAGAACTAGGGAGAAATAAAACAGACAGAAGAAGCTGATCTGCTCTAACCTCCAGTTGTACCCTCTGTTCCACATAGCTGAAGTACTGTCCCATCAGTGAGTTAACAAACACCTCCAGTTTCTGGTTGGCCACCTTCTCCAGATAGGCCTGTTCCTGCACTCTGAAAACATAACACAAAGTTTGATGTATTAAACTGGAAAAGACAGCCTCAAATTTTAAGCTACATGCAGCTTGGCAAGTTGCTATTGATACTTATCAAAAAAGAAATATAAAAAGACTTGTTTGTTTTGTCAAAGCACAAATCTTAGGCAAGCTGAAGGCACACATGTACATAATAAAATGCCCCGGTATGTGCAGACCTACCCTGTGCCAGGTCTGTTGATGAACAGGTCCTTGTATGAAGCGATGACCAGACACATGTCACTCAGGAACACGTTACAGCCAGTGTCAGTAAACTCCAGAACATCCTGCATGGGGACAGGAGACAAAAACAACTAGATTGGTCCACATTTCACAATAACGTGTAAATATTTTTAAAAAAGCAACTCAACTGACAAAATTTCATTTTAAGACTGTGTAGCTGTGATTGCTTTTAACAATGTACATCTATAAGAAGTTCAACCTTCAGCTGCAATGTTCATGACTGATCAATAGACTGTTTTTGATTGATTTGATGGAAATATGCCAAATGCAAGTACAAGTCTGTCCCACCATGGGATGAGGCTTGTCTCCATCACCAGGGTCGCCAGGTGATGGCACCTGCCCCTCCTCCAACATCTGCAGCTGCAGCCGCAGCATCCGCAGGTCCTCATCCACCTTGTGTCGGGCACTGCAGAACATGACAGACAGCACCTGACTAACACAAGTCTAATCTCCAAGCAGATTCTCTGGGTGATTGCAAAATACAGTATCAAATTGGCAAGACAGTATCCAATTAGCCAGGCAGTATCCAATATACCACCCAAAAGCTGCAAATGGTTACAGCAATACAGGCGGCCAATATACTACTTTTGCCCCACAGAATCTGCTTGGAGATTACCACAAGTCCACAAGAGTAGTAGTAACACGGTAGTAGTATCCAGTTTTAGATCATACTGCTGTGGAGGTCCCTGACACTGAAGCTGGTGTGTTACGCCGAAAGGCGGTTATACCGGCTATACAGATACAGATACAGATACAGACACAGGGGGAGGCAGTAGTCAGCTAGTCATAACACCATGTTTCCAAGGGACTCTGTCCAAGTGGGTCAACACTAGCAAGGCCTGTCTCTCTAATGTTCTCTAATCATAAGTCTAAACAGTAACACAGTTTTTATACAGAAGAATGTAGACATACTATAGTTATGCTTGTCATTGTCAGTCAAAGTTTTATACACTTAAATTGTTCCATAATGGCTACCTTTAATTCTGTGCATGTGTGCATGTGACTGTGTATACAGGTGCAAATTTGCAGAGCTTTGTCTATACCTTTCTTTAGGTCAAACATCCTCTCATTTTGAACAGAAAAAAACAACATCCACAGGTTTCAGTGCCCCCCTAAGGTGCCCCCCTAAAGGAACCTAGGAACTTGATGCGTAACAAGCCACGCCCCCGATTCTTTGCAGACGAACTCTGACCTACTTAAATCAATAAGGACAGAGGTCAACATGACCTTTGTCCTTTCTTCTACAACATGGCTGGTGTAACTAAGGTCTCCGTGGTTCTGGCCTTGTTGGCCATGTTAGCTGCCTGGCGTTACTTTCCTCCAGTTCCTGACAGCATTGAGGAAAAAGGGAAGTTCAGAGGACTGATTTTTAGCCTCAAATTGCAAGATGATCTGGCCGCTATTCTAGAATCACTCGGTCTCACAACCAAGCTTTCCTTAATGAGGGCTATGCAGAACATTCTGAATGTTAAGATGGAGGATCCGTCGGTCAAAGTCACTGACACTACATTTGCTGGGGTCAAGGTTCGACTGTACGAGCCGACAGGTAGGAAGAAGGCTGGGAAGGGTCCTGGACTGGTCTATTATCATGGAGGGGGGTTCTGTGTGTTGAACGTGGACTCGCATCACCACATAACCCTTCACCTGGCCAAGACCCTGGGTGTTGTGGTTGTGTCTGTGGATTACCGGCTAGCTCCGGAGCACGTCTACCCCGCCGCGCTCGACGACTGCATGGCCGCCACCAAACACTTCATCAACAACGCTGAGAAGTACGACGTGGACCCGTCTCGTGTAGCGGTGGCCGGCGACAGCGCGGGGGGTCATCTCTCAGCGACTGTATCCCTGAAGCTAAGCCAGGAGAATTTCAGGCCCATGCCACGACTCCAAGCTCTGATTTACCCCGCGACGCAGTTTGTGAGTTTCAACACTCCCTCTTACAGGCAAAGCGGCCATCTGTTCACCTTATCCAACAAAAGAACTGCTTTCTTCAAGTCAAACTATCTGGCTGGTGACAAGTCTCTGATGCAGACATTTCTCACCAACGAAAACCTTTCAGACAAGTTCAACTCCTCCCACTATGCAGATTATCTCGACCCACACCTTATCGACCCCAAGATTCCGCCCCGCCCGCCGGGAAAGAAGATGTCTGCGGAAGAAGTCGGGCCGAACCCAAGACATCTCCTCGACCCGTACATATCTCCACTCATGGCAGAAGAGACTGACTTGAGGGGACTACCCAGGGCGTACATAGTCGTCTGTGAACATGATTCCATCCGAGATGACGGCATTTTTTACAGCAAAAGGCTGGAGAAGGCAGGCGTACAGGTTCAACTGAAGCATTACATGTCAGGCTTTCACATGGTGTTCCAGTTATTTGATTATGTACCAGAGTTTGGTAGGTTTAAGGTAGGACAGGACATGATGGAGGATCTTAAAGAACACCTCTAGATAGCATATCATAATTTTTACCTACCGGGTATTATACTCTTGGCACTATCTAAGTTTGATATGTTTAGCTTGTAAGTTTAAATGCTTAAGTTAGAGGTTACATGGGGGTTGTCATTTCATGTCACCTACAGTCACACTTAGTCTGCCTGATAACCATTAGGGACTGCAGAAAGCAATGAAAGACTCACTGTTGAAGGAACTCATCACACAGTTCATCTGCCGGCTCCTTCAGCTGCAGCAGGAGATCTACACACTCCGCTAGCTGGTGAGCATCAGACTGGGAAGGTGGAAATAACATACAATAATAATTCAATAAAAATAATCAAGGCTCACATCTTTACAAGCAAGCTTTAGTGATCAACAAAATGAGAAAGACTTGCTTTTATTCTACACTATATCATTGATATCATAGCTACAATACCTTGGGGTAATGATTCAGTTTTGCCTTTAAAAAGTCCAGTAGCCTATTCTTAGCATAGCCTTCGTCAAAATAAGCATTAAAAATGTGACTAATAAAAATGATGTGTGCAAATCTGATGCCTGTCTCTTATTGGCTAAGTTGCTATTTATGATAGACTGCTAGTCTAAACAACAAAATCCTTGTGGTGCAATAAATAACCCATGTTACAGAAAACTGAGATAACATTACATAATGATATAACTGTCATACCTCTTTGTTTTTAAACTGCTCCCTGAGCTTGACACAGAGCTCAGCGACAATGACAGAACAGTCCTCCCTGATGCCATGGAAGGAGGGCATGTGCTGGTACTGGTCCAGAACTGTACGGGCCTTGGTGTAGTATCTGTCAGGGTTTGAGAGAAAAACCTTCATCAAGACATTAAATAAATTTGTCACAGATTTCAGACTTAAAGGAACTATTGCCTCACCTTCCTGAATTCCTGTATGCTCCCAGTCAGTGCCATTTCCTGTGTCTGACCTTTTGACTTTCTGTATCAACCTTCCATCGACATGTGGTCAACCTTCTCTGATTGGATACGCAGACAGACAAGCCCACAGCTCAGTCACCTAAAACAATACTTCTGCATCCAAAAGTAACCAGAACTTGCTATTAAGTCAATTGTTTAGAAAAGTACCCAGGGCCATCTTCCTCCTGGTTATGTGAAGCACACTTACCTGACAGCCTGTCCGTAAGCCTGCATCTCAATACACTTCTTCAGTCGTGCTGGCAGCTCAAACAGGAACTGGAGCTGTAAGAACGACAGACAAAATTCAGCACTGTTTCAAAGCTTGGGCAGGATACTTTGGGGAATATACATGTGTTGGCAACATTTTACAGATTTTCAATCCATCATATTTGGCATTATGTCTTGGGCATGGTATTGGAAAGCAGAGCCTATCCCCCTCCTCTCACTGCCCAACTAAAGTCAGGAACCTAATTTACACCTGAAGTCCTGTAAAAAAAAAGTTGTGTAAAGTGCCTTTCCCAAGGACACAACGTCTAGCCAAGAATGCCAGGGATTGAACCTCTCAATTTCATGTCTCACCTTTTTCAACAGCATGTGCACCCCTGACAGTTTGGTGATCTGTTGGCGCCTGTCCTGCAGAGTCCCGCTGATCCGGGCGCTGAACTCCGTGATGGACTCCATGTTGGTGGCCAGACGATCCATCTCATCCTCCATCTTCTTAAAGTCGTTTTTCATCTGCAGAAGTGAACAGCAAATGTTCGCTCACCTTAAAGTTTCATCAATCATAAGTGTTAGTACTGTTACTAGTGTTAGTAGCTTGTAACCAACTACAATGTAGCCAAACAAATGGTGTCATTTTCTTTACCTTTGATACAAGAAAATTTCAATCCTGTTCAGAAACCAAATTTTATCAAAATTAAATAGACACAAGCACAATTTAAGAAGAATAATAAATCATAAATTCACACGCACAATTTCATACTATCAAAATAGTATCACAGGAAAATTCTTAGTGCATACACTGTACCCGTTTGGTAACTAAATCAAAATTCTCTTGTGGCTGCAAATTAGGGAACAAAATGACAACTTAAAATGACTTGCAAAGCAATATGATTACAAATAGATGCTCCTTCATTGTAAATATAAATGAGCAAGGCCATTGCTTTTTACCTTTCGTATTGTATCAGTTGCACTGATAAACTTGTTGTAGTTTTCATACACCAGAGTCTGCATGTCACTGTCCAAGGAACGGATTTCTGCAGAAAGTTAAAGGATGAAGGATCAAGTACAGCAGGCATTTGAGAAGAAAAATGATGGTGAGTCACATATGTTTATGATCATTTTTCAAAATGATACAAAATACTAGTACTTGTGCAACTTTCAGTAATAAATCTCATACTTGAATTTCTATATTCTTCAATTTCTGTTTCTTCTAGAGAACCAGTCTCCTGTTATTAAGACCACAGACAGAAATACACGAAATCTGTGTATCAGAAATGACAGTGTATCTTACGTCTGACCATGTCCCTCTCCTTGTCCATGAGTTCGTTAAGCGACTTCTCCTGCATGAGACGTTGGAGGTACACCTCCGGCTTGAAGTGGGCCCCATTGATGTCACACGGGTCTGTGGTGGCCGCTGCGCCCTTAGCACCTGACTCTGCCTGTAGATATATACAGTGTACATTTATAGATATACAATTAGTTAGGACACAGAAGAACAGATCAAAGTTTATTATACCTTTTTTTTCTTTCTCACTTTGCACTCTGAAAAAAAAGTCTGACTTTTCTAATGTGGGAATGTGAAAAGAAAACAAGGGTTCTATTGAATATGTAGGTGCTAAATCATAATGTACTGGTCATACATGTACACGAATAGAGACTGGACTTGAGTAAAGGAAGGGACAGTGTTACATTTAACCAAATTTGCAAGTCTGAAGTACCAAATGAACATAAATTGTGTTTGGATTAGCTATCTAAAAAGTTTTGCCATGTACATGCATGGTATATAAGAAAGCTGCACACACGTTCACCTGTAAGCCATAGTACAGTTTCAGCATGCCGTGTCTCTTACGCCGGCGCCCATCATCCTCTCCTGGTGGGGGCGGCGATTCTGGGTGAAAACAAGAAATTCCGAGATTTCAGACACCTGGGAAGTGGTTTGGGTTTTCGTGAATGTATAATAACTGTGGATGGGATTGTATGATGTAATTCAATCAGGTATTACACACAGTCAACCACTACCCGAATTCCTCCAAGTACTTACTCTAGGCCAGGTCAACTTCCTTGATCCATCACTGTTCCATAAACATGTTGTGAAAGTTTATGGGTTATACTGAAAGGAAATTCCTTGAAAAGGGAGTGGGGCTATGTACAAACTATCAACAAAAATTGAAGGGGTTTAATATCAGCAGCGGGTTATCATGGGATCAAAATGAAACGGGAGTATTATTCCCTTGTTGGTGTTGTCTGGTTTATCAAAAGGCTCCACGTATAATAATTGATGCCAGAGTCGTTACAACTTGACATGTAACTATGCGAATGATATCCCATTTTTTCCCATTATCTAGTGCCCGGAAATAACTTATTTGTAACAGCATCTTTGGGTAATAAACAGGATGGAGATATGACATGTAGAAACTTTGAAAACAGACTGAGAAGGATAATAATATGTTCCGCCCTCCCCACAGATTTTTTACCTGGAGCGGCAGCCATCTTGAATCGTAATGCCCGGTGGGATCATTTGGAAGATTACATCTCTGTCAAGGTTGGTTGATAAATAAAACTGGCATAAAATTTTCAGAATATATTATTTTAGCGCATATCATACAAAGAAATCATAATTTATAATGTATTTAATATTAAAATGAGTAAAAATATTCTAAAGCTTGATTTATGTATTATTGGCGTTCTTTCTAAATTTTTGAAGTACCCTATTTCTTAGTCGACCCGCCCTGAGCGGAAGAAGGCGGAGAATTTTGCAGTCGGCGAAGGCGGAATGACAGATTGCAGGATTTCTCGCAGAGAAAGATGATATTCTGTCCTTAATTCATTCCTTTACGGTTGCTTACACGTCTGTAACAGGTAAGGACGCACTTAACATTCTCAGAACGCTCCTAAGCCGTCTCACTGTCCGTATTTTTGTCGGACAAGAGACTCCGATTCTAATGAGATCATGAGATGATGTCATAATTTTTTTTCAGGACCTGGTGATCTAACTTACGATTCACAACATTGCCAATCACATCACAACATTGTCATGATTGCTGTTTTGTTGATGAGCCCTCAACAGCTAAAATCGTTTTGATGTCTTTGTCGTAGTTCCTTTATCCATAATTTTTGTGTTTATCGCACATCCTACTAATCAACATATCATGCAATCAAATCAAAATAGATTATAATTTTATGTTAAGTGCAGCCAAGGAGGTTATTAACTTATACGCAGTGAAAGGTGACCTATTTTGGGATGTGGCACTATACTGTTCGAATCAAGGAGCCATCAACAAATCATCCCACTCGCCATCATTATTAAGGATGTAAAAAAAAAAAGAAAAACATGACCACAATTGAGTTTTCTTATCGCATAACTGCCACACTGTGGTATTACCTAAAGGTGCAACCAAGTTATAGAAATCAAAATGATCATGCAGATTATGCAGTAAATGCATCCTGGATTGCATTTATGAATCATTGAGGAAAAGCATTATTGTTGTCACTTTGCAGCAGCTACTTATTACTAGTATTTGCTTTTGGCACACCAAGTAATAACATGAAGATGATTTATACAAAATGTATTGTTTTCAGCAATACTAACATATGCACTCTGTCTCAGATCTAATTGAATTAGAATCGATCTGGTTACACAGACTTTTCATTGGTTCCTCAGGGAATGGCTAATTATGATGCTCACAGCTTACTAATATTTATTTGTTTCAGGATCTCTAAAATGAGCTTTATATTCAGGATTCACGTTTTTCTATGCAATAGTGATTGCAAATGATTCTTCAAAGAGTCAAACATTTTGAGACAAAAATCAAGCTTTCCAGTGTCTATTCTTGGTTCTATTGTATTAATGGAATTTTAGAAGGTAGCAGTAAATATATTTTCATGTTAACCTATATAACTAGCATACATGTCATCGACCAACTTGCACAATATATTTGACTTTGAGTGCAGGCCTGGGACTCGCGATATATTATGGAAAAATGAGAGTGGACTTAATATATAGGCAGCTTGCCCAAAATGATTAAAAATTTATTGGCACTGCCAAATATTCTAAAGATTGTAAGAGAGATACATTCTTTTTTAAACTCTGTCTCCAGTCCCTAGCCTATCCAGCCATGGCAGACCGGCCGATGAAGGTAGGGATGCGCGTGGAGGTTGCGGGGAAGGGCCTGGTGGGCACGGTGGCGTACGTCGGGACCACCATGTTTGCCAGCGGGAAGTGGATAGGAGTGGTCCTGGACGAGAAGAAGGGAAAGAACAACGGAACCGTGCAGGGGAAGAAGTACTTCAACTGTGATGACGGCTTCGGCATCTTTGTCAGGCAGTCTCAGGTTTGTAGTCTTACTGTTAGTGCTAGTCATTATATTGTATCATCCTGATCTGAATACCAATCTGCCTTAATGGTTCATGACAAAAAGTCATCAATATGTTAGCAGGAAAGTTCATCTGAATTGGTAAGTGACATATAGAAGGTTGATTTGTTCTCCAACTCCAAAAACTTGGAAGTTTTCATTGAATTGCTCAGTCATCGAATTCCTTAGCATAATTAATCTGATCCAATCACTCGTTAGTCAGGACACATGAAAAAGTTGTTTCTTGGCGTTTTATCTTAACTGATGAACTGTTATTTTGTTCCACTGATGTGTAGTTGAACGTGTTAGAGGACCAGTCTGGTGGATCTGCCAGTACTCCCAGTACACCTTCACAGGAGGAGAAATCTGTTGCTAAACGAACCCCTGGGTCCAGAGGTATGCTATCGTAGCACAAGTATTCAATTAACCCAACATTTAATCAACATTTAACATTATAGTCTGTTTTTCATGTACTTCTGTTCCATTGTAACACAATATCCTGGGAGATTTGTAGTTATTTTAATTTTTCACCTAAAGGATGTCATCTTTTCTGTCCTATTATTGTTGTACTAAGATGTTTGTGTCGTGAGTTTTGTGTTCAAATGTTGACTTTGCTGTCTTTCTCACCAAGTTTGTTGTAAAAACTACCGTATTTTACTCTAATATGTAAAAATGTCTTGAACGTCCCATTGAGCTATATTCATGTGTAACTTATAAAACTTACTGAAAATTGTGAAATGACACAGTAGATTTGTAGAACTGTATTACCCGTAGTTACTATAAGCTACATTAAAAAAAAACATGTAAAATGTTTTCATGTTCCAATTCCAGCTTTGCTAATGCTCATTCAAGACTTACCCATAGATGCAGTAGCATGAGTTTGTAGTTGGTAGCTACTAGATACCCCTTTGCTGTGCATCGGCTCTGCCTGTTACCTCTATACATGAATAAACTGATCTGGACTCATCCACCTGCTCTCTCCCTCACTCCCTCCTTCCCTCCAGCTCCAAGACCAAGATCCACAGGTTTGTTACCATGGCAATGGCTGTGTTGTGGCATTGCGTAGTATGTTTAAATGTGTGTGCTATGGTGGTGGCGGCTATGATTTTCCCAGTCTACTGTTGCTGGGCATCAGTGTGGATGCCTGCAGTGCCTTGTTAGCTTCAGTACACTGTCTCTGGGACTTCTTCATGCATTTTTCTGTTTGTCATTTGAATATTTTTTTAAATAGGCACACTAATTGGCCAAACCTGCATGACAGTTGAATTAGTTTGTTACACAATGTCATCATTCAGTTTTGGCCAATCAGCATGCCTATTGAAAATCTTAACAAATCTGACTCACGGAATATGTGTGGGTCCAGTCTTTTGGACAGGGAAGCTACATGGAAGCTACAGGCATTCAGGCTTACTGGGCATGTGCTTATGATTATTTAACAGCTCTTTACTACCTAATGCTGTGTAAGAGGCCTAGGGAAGTAGATAAAATTGTATGCTTATATTTTATAAGGAATTTCAGCTTGCAGGAAGAGATCACAGGGTACTAACTTGCACATGAAAGCCACATGACATCTGCTTGCTCTGCACCCAGTCTCACTTGTCTTGTAAAAATCACCTGCACCTCTGCGCTGTGTGATGTGAACTTAAGTTGTCATGGCTTCCATTTTTTTGATATTCATCTGTCATTGAAGATTCATCATAACTCTTCTGCTATATATACATATACTGTCGTCATCAGTAACCATTGAAATGTTAACATCATTCTGCAAAATCATTTTAAGCTCTTCTCTAATAAGGTATGATGAAAAAAAATTAAGGCTAAAAGAAAGTCATATAAAGTATACAGTATCTGTGGCCTGAAGCCCTTCTCAGTAATGTTTGAAAAACTGGTGTTTAACCTTCAGCCCACTAAAGTAGCCATTTGACACTGAATTTGTACTGGTATTAGTTATGTGGTCAGAGAGAAGATTGAATTATTGTCCTTCGTACATAACACATGACAATTGGTGTCCATTTCAGCCTTTGAAACTCCCAGAGCCTCTCGGGGAAGCCGTGAGAATCTTGAGGTAGGCTTTTCTTCTTTGATTTTTATATAATGGGGCATATATATATATATATATGGGGCGTATCTTGTTTGACTATAGTTCAAGTTGTGAAGGTGTATAATGCACAAGAGAAGAATAAGCGTATGCAGACATACACTGTCAGATTTCAAGGTCAGATTTATTGCAGTTATTGAAAAAACTGAAGTGAAATGTTTGTATCAATGTACAACTGCAATTGCTGTGTCACTGTCTTAGTAGAACCATAATCATGACAGGGTTGTGACTCAGGTCACTAGTACTGTTAAAGGTTTCAGCTTTCAGCTTGATTATAATGTTTTTCTAGGAATTAGTGGTGATATGATTGTATATGCAGGCTGTATCATGTTACTAGTAGTTAAAAAATGTAATCTTCTATAGGCAACTATGATATACACTTCTTGGCGTTACTATTAAAAAGAGAGTGTATCTACTAGAATAGAATGAATTGTAGTAACAGTGTGTGTGTCAATGTGAAGTTAATCATAATGTCATTATTCTTGCATTTCATACTACTTTTTCTGTCACAGGTGCCAAACTGACCCAATGAATATCCTGATTTTATTTTGGACCTTTGACTATTATAAGAAATTATAATTTAAGATGTCTAGTATGTGGTTTCTTATACTACTACTTAGTACTAGTGTTATCTCTGAAAAACCTAAAAGCTGCTAAGAATGTGAGAAACAGCTTCATTTTAAATTTGTTGATTTATTGAAGTGAAAAATTGAAACATGGTGTGATAACTGTTTCATTGGGTCAGAGGGCTTAAACATTCACATTCATTTTTAAGTACATAAATGTAAGATTTTGTTAAAGTCGTCTTCCTTTTCTCATTTATTCTCATAGTGCATAAAAATCCTACTTTTGATCCAAATATACCTAGTTTTTGCCAAGGTTCTCAATATACATAGCAGGCTCTAATCTGTGCAACATGTAACTCGCATGGCATTGCCAAAAGGTCTTGGCTTAAGCATCAGATGATACCAGTTAAACTTACGTAACTATTCCAATTGAAATACATCCATCATGCAATTCAAGTGAAAAGAAGTTGTAGATTTCTAGCCTGTTTCATTTCCAAACTGAGAGAAAAGAAAGAAAGAAACAAAGACTTTTGGCAATGAGCAGGCACACTCTATCATGTCTGCTCTCCTCTTTTTCTCTGCCTCCTTTCTTCCTACCTTTCACCTGTAGAGACAACCCTTCCGATTCAAGGTTAGATCATGCAAAATCATGGCATTACTTAGTCACTATTATAATATACACTTCGAAAACGTCCTTCAGTGTTGAACCTATACTGGTGCAGGTAGACAGTCAAGACAGTGTGTCTGTTACACTTACAGTGGTAGATTATTATCAAGGGCTGACATTGTGCAAAGAAGTACATGTATATGGTACCAGACTAATAGTATTATTCTTTAATGTTTATCTTACAGGTAAATTCTTTGGTACTTTTTTTGTAACCTTTTTTTCCAGTAGAAACAGGTTTCATTTATACATTGTACAGCCATTAGATATACTACATGTACATGTAGCAGTAAAACATTACTGTATGCTATGAAGAAAGAACTAATGTTCAAACAGTGTTGTAGGTAATGTTGACCAAACCACCACCTAAAACTTCTTTATACATATTATTATTGTAGAGTGACACATGTTCAGAATAGTGTTGGTATGCAGTAACAGTTACATGTATTGTTCACATTTATCCACTGACACTCTAGGTTTGACCAAAACCACATATATTTTTAGTAATGTCGTTCTATTTCCCCATTCTTTAGTTTATTGATTATTTTAATAGTTCCAGGCTAACATTAGCATAGCTGAAATATAGATCACATACTTTTCATCAATAGTTTGTTTGTAATAGACATCCCCTTTATTCTTTCCCTTACCTTGTAGTCCATACCCCAAAGGAAAACACCATCATCAAGTTCCAAGGTACAACCATACCATGTTATCTACCACTAACCTACTAACCCCAGTAGAGGATGACTGCTTTGGCTTTTTCTAACCGTCTAACCTTTGGTGGAATGGTACTGGCTTCAACACATTAGAGGGCGAAAGCTTTCTAGCATTTAATCTCTTATAAGAAGGTATGCATAGATAGAGAATGGGTGGAATGGTGGTTATTTACAGTATCTGTAGTTGTGGCTATTTCATCAAGAGGTGAAGAAATGAAAAAGTGAAGGCTTTAAGGAGTGAACCCTGGCCTAAGAAAAAATGTATCAAATTGGTCTGAATTCAGATTTGCCATGTACATTACTTAAGTCATATTTTGAATTTGGTCCAAGTTTTTACATTTCATACATTTCTTTTACTGTAACAGTTGCTTATATTCACCAGACACTGAAGATTTCTATAGTGTATATAAATGATATTAACTTCTGTACGTAGCTTGATAAATCATTTGTTTGGCTTTGCTAACACATTTCCCTTGCCCACAGCCTCCAGCTAGGAGTGCATCATCCTCTGAACTTAAGGTAGATAGTATTGATGATAGTCATGCTGCACAAAACAATGACACGCGAAACATTTTTCTTTCCAGTTGCAAGACTCTCACCAGGCCATGAATACCATCATTTTGTATATACTAGGATTTCAAAACTATCCACAGTATATTATTTCCTGAACTTTATCTTGTAGACTTTTATTTTTGTTCTTAACAGACACACAATTCAGTCGTATATACAATCATGTATTGTCATGTATATCTGTCACAGATGTACTGTTCAGTTTGACAGATGGTGTCCTCTTCTAACCTTGAATTGAATGCCCTTTGTCTCACATACACATAGATGTGACCAATAGCCAGCCTATAGCATGTGTAAGAATTATCGGTATATAGGGGTACACGTAAATCTGTAAGAAAAACTTGTTTTTGGATAAGAGTGTACAATCATCTCGTCTAAAATTGTGTATGTATCATGTAATTATATTAATACAATGTATTATATATGGGTGCATACACACCAGTAGTCATTACAGTATGGTTCAACTCAAGCTCACCACAAATATGGAAGAATTCAACCAAAGCAGGAGCAAAATGAAGGAACTGCGGAATTACTAGAAGCTTGGAAACTGCACGAAAATAAGTGCATTGTGACTTTAATTTACGAATTCCCTGAATTTCTGGAATTGCATTTATGTGTACTAGCCTTGTATGGTTGATACTGGTATAAATTGTTCATTGGAAAACTACCATGGGTGTGTTCAACTTGAGCTGACAAAGCATCTGGTGATGATGATTAACTTTAATGCTAACAACTCTGCCTGACTTGCATGATGTTCCAGACTTCAAAGACTGCAAACTCCGACCAGCCCAAAAAGTCCAAAAAATCCCCAACGTCTAGTAACTTGGAAGAAACCATCAAGGAAATGAAGGTATTAACTCCGTTGGGGACTTTGCAAAGCACAAATTTTTGTTTGTCACCCGCGCAGTGCTCAAGCTCATGAGTTCGGCATGTCTGTATTACTGTGCACTGCTTAACTACACCGCTGTATGTTTTATGCACTCAACATTGCAAGTTTGGAAGCCTGCTGCAGTCTTTACTACTGAAATTGCTCATACATGTACCACAATCAAAGCCATGTACATGTATGATCTGTGTGTGAATGAAATAAGATGAATGCTTACTGTTTGATCCACTACCAATGACAGCAAATATGCCCGCTGTTACAGGCCTGGGCTGACAGAAGTTGCTAGTGCTTGTGCTTGTATTGTCTTAGAATGAGTGCTAATATGGTAGGAAAGCTTGTAACATCTGCATCTATAGATTATGTTGCTTGCAATATTTTTGCTCACATTATGTAATCATTAAAGAAAAGTTTTAAATAAAGCAGTTGTCATGTTAAAGACTATCATACTGTACAATGTGTACTATAACATGTTAGTCCATTCTATCTCAAGACAACATCAACTTTGAATGCTGTCATTTTTGAAAGATGCCATTGAATGGTAATTTTTTATTCAAAGATGAAAGTTTCCCATCTGGAAAATCACCCAAGGGCCTTGCAATTATCATACAATTCACTCAGATGGAGGCCTGGCAAACCCTGTCTTGTATCAGCCTCAATAATTATAATAAAAATAGCCCTATGCTAGTTAGGCAGCCCTGGTTGTATCTTCAGCCTAACAGATAAGTAGATAAGTTCTACAATTTTAAAATATAGCAGGGTCACACAGTTGGGAGACTTTTATCTTTTCATCTTGTCTGAGTATTGGGACAATACAATGGACATTACATGACTACTAAGTACATTGTGTATATAGTAGACAGTCTCTGTACAAAAGAGAAAACCTCTCCAAACTCTTCCTCCAAACTCTTCCTCCTGCGCATTTCTCTATAATTATGATTCAAGTATGCCTTTCATTCTCTAATGTATAACTTATTACCGGTAGTCCGTCTGGCTGTACGTGTGGTAGACAATGAAAATGCTTTTCTCCCTCGTTACCTGCTTATCTTCGGATTCTCTTCCTCCTCTTCTCTGTAGTCCCCCACCCAACCTTCCAAGGACTCTGCCAAATCCAAAGTAGGTGCCTTCTTCCCTTCTATCTTCTTTACACTTACTGTACCAGGCTTTTCTTCTTCAGCAACAACTGCAATGAGTACAAATTGCAGCTACTTTCCATGGTCCATTCTTATGGACTTACTGTATCCTCCTCCTTACTTTTACCAGAACAGAGATGTGTAAATCTGCTTTATATACTTGTATCATCAGGAGAAATACAGAGGTTGCAGAGCCAAATATTAATCATTAGTGTGTGTATTCTTTGTTTTCTTTATCTGTGACTTGGGCCAATGCAAGGTGTACCAGTAGATGGTATTCAACAAACTAATTATGCTTACAAAAATGTATCAGCTTAGCACAAGAAGATTTGGATGGATTGTCATGTCATCTATGGGTGATAGGTCTTGGTGTTGAGAAGAATTGATTGAACATTGAGGCACTTAGCAGCACCGTATGTCAAACAGCTCAAAGAAGAAACAAATGCATTATTTCTGTATTGCATAATTCATGAGTATCTGTATTTGGTTCTGCATTGCTGCTCAGATGATCATACCTTTTGAAATTCACAGTTTTTACCCCACGGATGTCATCTTAAGACTATTACAGGAACGTGAGAAAGCCAAGAGATGGAAGTTTTTCTCAGAACCAGGGCTAAATGTGTTAACTTTAATATTTATAATATTTAAACTGACCCTCCTGCTGCATTCCTGGTTGTCCCCAGGAATCCACCCCTTTGTCCACCCCAGCGTCCACCCCTGTGGGCCCTACTGGCCCGACTCAGGCCGAGATGGACGAGAAAGACAGGGAGATTGGAGAGCTCAAGGCCAAGAACAAGGACCTGGAGGAGAAGCTGGACACCATCAAGGTCAAACGTCTGGAGGACAAGGGCAAACTCAAGGAGTTCGAGAAGAGTAAGATCGAGATACAGAAGGTGATATGTGATTCTTAGACTTATACTACAGGCACAATGCAATTGGGTAGCAAGTTTCCATCTCCACCGAACTGTGGTGAACAGCAACCACTTCCTTTTGACTGTATAGATTTTCTACCAATCCTTTAAAAAATTATTTTAGAATAAATCAATAGCTCTTTCTTGTGAATTCTTTGTCTGGTAACATTGTTCTAAATGCTGTTATTATTTGCAGCTTCAAGAGTTTAAGAGCAAGATGCAAGAGGCCAAGAATGATCTTGAGAAACAGCTGAAAGAGGCAAAGAAGGTAAGGATGAATTTAAATTTCAAGTTGTTCACCGAGTCTCCATAAGCAACTATCATATTCATAACTGGTTTGTGTGTTACTTGAAAAGTCTTTGATCACTGTCCTTTTAGGTGGTTAGGATGACCCTATAAAGAGGCATGAAGACTTTCAGTTATTCACAATTTGAAAACCTTATCAGTGCCTCAGACAATTTTCATATTCTTATTTTTCGCTATCTCTCAATGTTTTTATTTTTGAAACAACATTAAACTCTAAAATGAAACAGGACCAGCCTTATCTCCAGTGTTCAGTAATCAATTGAAGTTTTTTTGTTTCTTCCATCATTTAGGAAGCCAAAGAGGCTCTTGATGCGAAGGAGCAGTTTGAAGAGGAGATGAAGGACGTTACGGAGACCATCGAGATCGCCACGCTGGATAAGGAGATGGCTGAGGAGAAGTGTGAGGCTCAGCAGATGGAGATCGACCAGCTCAAGGAGAAACTGGACGAGGCACAGACGGATCTCGAGCTTCTTAAGAATGAAATTGCCACTTCAGGTATTTGTAAGATACTTGTGGATTGTGATTCACACAACAGCACCTTACTGTGCATAACCTATACCTTTTCTAAGAGTGTCATGTGGTGAAATCTTTTTGATAAAGACTTTTGAAAGTTCATGATATTTAGATTACACTATTTGCGTCGAGACTAAGTCTGAGTTTCCATCCAACATGTGTGGTAAGACATCATAGCATATTAGAGGCAGTATCAGTCACCTCCAAGACTTTAGTCATGATATGGTGTTGCACGAGTTACTCAACAGTACCAGTAAGTCTTGAGGTTTTTACCATAAGAAGCTACTAAAAACTTTGGGTTGTCCAGTTCATTCTTGTACATGTACTACCAACACCAACACCTATATGGCTCTTCTGAGGACTTCTCACCATGACTGACAGGTGTTTTTAGTACAGATGTATTGGCAAAATAGGTGTTTTTACTTAAAGCCTATTTTGTGTTCATGTACCCCCAACAGGTACAGAGGGTGCTGCCACCAGCTTCCAGGTCAAACAGATGGAGGAACAGAACAACCGACTCCGCGACGCTCTGGTCAAGTAAGTGTGCCGCTCCAGATGGTCAACCCGGGAGTCCAATAGTTCACTGTAACTGTGCTGCTGCACAGAACTCCTGATTGTGATCAGACAGATACATAGACATCAGAAATACCTGCACAGCCCCAATTTTATCTGCACTAACCAGCATATACAACTTTGCAACAGACCTGAGTCAGCTGACCAATGTGCCCTATGTTGCAGAGACTGTCATTCTCATAATCATATAGGACTGTTCAACCATAGCTGAAGCTGTAAGGTTGATATCAATTGGGATTCTACCATCATGGTCAATATTGACTGCAAAAGGCCATATACATGTATATAAATTGCATTATGCTGTTGCTAGTGGTATTTTGAGCCTTGATGTAGCGGTATGTCTGTGTGCTGTCCTGTACAGGATGTGTGACCTCAGATCATGTATGTTAATGTCTGCTGTACTGTACAGGATGCGTGACCTGTCTCAGTCTGAGAAGCAGGAGAACCAGAAGCTTCAGAAGGAGATTGACAAGTCTAACTCCCAGCTGAAGACCCTGAGTCAGCAGAAGGAGAAACTCAGTAAGGCAGTGGAGGAGGCTGAGGCAACTGTGGACGAACTAAAGGAACAGGTAGGTTATGCCTAGTTATTTTCTTTAAGGGTGACTTCCTGGAATCTTGTCCATTTGCCCTCCTCATGTTGACACTGCCCTTGGTGCTGAGGAGACGGTGTTATTCTGACACAGTAATTGTAATAACCCTTTACTGTGAAGATAAATGGTGGAATGTTTTTGCCCCCTGCCCTCTCAGGTGGATACTGCACTCGGTGCTGGACATTATCAAGATAAATGACTGTATTTTTGCCCCCCTCCCCTCAGGTTAATGCTGCCCTTGGTGCTGAAGTGATGGTGTTATTCTGACACAATGATTTTAAGAGTACTGTATAACCCTTGACTGTTTTTGTGAGGATATATTATAGAATTCGTCCCCCTCCCCCCAGGTTGACGCTGCCCTGGGTGCTGAAGAGGTGGTGTTGTCAGTATTGTTACAGTAACTATAAATGTGTAATCCTCAAGTGTATGTATGTTGTTGAGATTCAATAGTTAAATCTTGTCCATTTGCTCCCCTTACCCCTCAGGTTGATGCTGCCTTTGGTGCTAATTATAACCCTTGACTGTTTTTGTGAACATAAATGATGTATATCTTCACAATGTTTTTGCCTCCTTCCCCCCCCCCCAGGTTGACACTGCCCTTGGTGCTGAAGAGGTGGTGTAGTTACAGGAACACTACTAAAAGTGTAATCCTTGTGTGTTGTTGAGGCTCAATGGTTGAATCTTGTCTGCCGTTTGTCCCCCCCAGGTTGACGCTGCCCTTGGTGCTGAGGAGATGGTGGAACACCTGACGGAGAGGAACCTGCAGCAGGAGGAGCGTATCCAGGAGCTGGAGGAGCAGGTGGGTGACCTGGAGGCCATGCACGAGATGGACGAAGAGATGCAGGAGAGCGCCCGCGACAACGAGATCGAGATGCGCGAAGAGATCGACATGGCCAACTCCAAAGTCAGGGAGGTAAGAACTGTGTGTTGTTTTTGTTTGTTTGTTTGTTTGTTTTCTTAAGATCTCCATTAATATTTCATAAATTGCACACTATTCTTCTTGGAATCCTCCAGGGTGATGCTTTAAATCATCATGTGGCTGATTCGAGGTGGGGTTTGCCAGGCCTCCCTGTAAAAACAAATATGTGATTTTTACCTTCGCCAAGAAGGTTATGTTTTCAGGGGCGTTCGTGTATGTGTGTGTGTGTGTGTGTGTCTGTCTGTAAACACGATAACTTGAGAAGGCCTTGATGGATTGTCTTGATACTTGGTAGATGGGTAGGTCTTGATGAGACCTCAAAATGATTAGATTTTGGACCCCCTAGCGGCTTGTTATGGTACTGCAGCTGAACTTCCGGTTTTGATATCTCAAGATCCAGACATGCTATGGTGATGAAATTTGGATGGTAGGTAGCTCTTGTGCTGGGAAAGAAGTGACGTGAGTTTAGGCCCCCTAGCGGCTTGCTCTAGAACTGCAGGGGGGTTTAAAGGACAAATGTTTAAAAGAGGATAACTCAAGAACCGATTGATGGATCATCGTGATTTTTGGTATGTAGGTAGCTGAAGTGATGCTTGACATAATGATATTACAATTATGCGAATATTGATGTAATTTGCATAATTAATGAGGAAATTCTATAAATCAGCTGCATTCCATGATAGGAAGTTCAAGCTTGTAACATATGTTATTAAGAACGAGAGAAACACAGGCAAATATTGATTATGCAAATGAAGACTTAATTTGCATAATTAATGAGAAAATGTTATAATTGCGTAGTGGTAACTGCCTGGAATTTCATACTTGGGGTGTTTGAGAATTAAGTAAAGGTGAACATATATAAACATAACTTATTCAAATAAGGACCACATTTGCATAATTTATGAGAAAATGGCATTCTTTAAGATTAGACTGTCTTTTGATGGAGAATATGATCAACAGACTGATATAATTCATGCAATTGAGGATCCTATTTGCATAATCAGGGTGATTAGTATATTTCTTATTCATAAAGGCTAACATCATTTGGCGAAGGTATGAGATCGTGGAACTCTAGTTTAAAAATCATACTAAATCATACTATTCGAGTATTTTTATGTATGTGTTTTCTGTGAAGAACAGTCTTACATTGCCATGCATGGAAATATTTCCTGACCTCCTGACCTCCTGTCTGTCCCAACAGTTCCAGCGGAAACTGGAAGCCTCTCAGGAGATGATCGCAGACCTGCAGCAAACCATCACCAAATATAGAGACCTCACCACCCAGCTCAGGGTTAGTACACTTATATACTTTGTTCAGAAAAGTAAAATATCTTTGGGGAGAGTGTAACTTGTTCTTTTCAAGGCTTCAGCCATTTGTGTGTTGGTTTTGGCATTAGTCAGCAGGGAGAAGGTTAAAGAAGTAGATTTTATTCACTTTTAATTTTAATAACTGATATAATGCTATTTTGTCCTCAGGAGAAGAATGAAGACCTTGCGGAGCAGACAGCAGAAATGGGGAAACAGGAGCCGACCACTCCAGTAGAGACGTTTGACTTCAAGACCAAGTTTGCAGAAGTCAAGGCCCATGCCAAGGTTCGTGCTCGCTTAGCAGTATTGTTTATTTCTCCAGGATGAAAACAGAACTAATCTGTTACCTTTTTCCTACTACAAGAGCTTTGATTTTGTCAGCAGTCTGCTAGGTTATATACTTCATTAGGAAATATTTTATATTCATGATGGAAAATAAGTGGTATTCTCTGTCAGAATTGCCCTGAGGGAGGTGACAGATGGTCACCGAAATGACGGCTGTGAATAAAACACTAAGTTGGTTGTGAAAAAAGAGTCTTTTTACTCAGCTGTATGCTCTATATCCCTGCAGCAAATTGACATGGAGCTGCGTAAACTGGAGGTTCAGCAGGCCAACCAGCACGTCAACCTGCTGTGTGCCTTCATGCCGGATAACTTCCACCGCAGGGGAGGTTAGTTGCTCGTCAGACACTTACGTGTGTGTAGTTTGATGTCTGTTTATGTATGTGTATGAAAGCCATTGGAATATAAGCAAGACCAAGCCTGGACTATTGTGGGTTGGTATTTCAAAGGTACATGTATATATAGTCTGCGGTGATCTCTAGCCAAGCAAATGTTGTACTTGCCACTAAGAAGAAGTTATTCAAAAGTGTTACTGCCACTACCCCCCCCCTCCCCCAGGTGACCATGACTGTATCCAGGTACTGCTGCTCATCCCCAGGATGGTGTGTAAGGCTCAACTACTGGCAGACCAAGTCAGGGATAAGGTCAGTCACTGTCTTCTACACAGTGAATGGTTACATTGAGTTTCCTTAAGACAACACTGAATATGCATTTTGGGTATTTCGAATTTGGTAGTCATTTTATTTTGTGGTGTGAAAGAAAAGAAGGTTTACGTTATGTTTGAGTTGATGGTTGAACATTTCCATAGTTACCATAAAAATACCAAACAGATTTTTGTGTCATGTCATGGTTTTGCATTAAGCGGACACTGCAAAAACTGCCTCAAACATGTCATGATTTACAGTTGCTTTGTATTTATCATATGTTAATTGGCAACTGTGCTTAGATTTGTATGAGCTAGTTATTTCTCAATCGTTTGCACATGAATGTGTTACCTTCTATCAGCAATGGTTTAAAGGCACACAAGTGAAGCAACAGGAGTATTTGTCTTCCAGCATATAGACTCAATAGAAGAGCAGTTGTACGGGCCTGAGGGAGGGGATGATGATGATGATGAGGGAGACAGTCAGGTTGTCTCTTATGGTTTGGGATGTAGAGGGGGTGGTGATAAAGTGGTGAATGTGTATACTGTAGGGGTGCAGTAGTGTTCACAATAGAATAGACAGTTTTGGCTGCTTGTAGAATGTTTTACATATATACATTTGTAGGTATGGCATAAGGATAACTGAAGGTGAAATGCTACTTGTAGTTCAATAGAGCAAAATGTGGTTCAATTTCTCCATGTTATCCTGGTGGTGGTGTGGATAAAATAAAACTTTATTATAAGGAATCCAGACGTAGTGTGTTCTGTGGTGCCATGTCCAAGACTTGCTCTGTTTTTTTTTTCTTTTTAAATTGTAAGCTTGTAGAATGAAGGGTAGAATTGGTGGAAGTTGCAGTGTGGGCAAATGCTGCAAATCTTTCAGCTGTACAATGTTTTACCAGTTTCAAGGACTCACACAGGTGGTCACACACATGCTGAGATCTTGCTAACTTGAGTCTCACTTCCTTGTGTTTGTGGCCAGCAGTTTGAGATCCCGCAGGGCGGTTTAGACCGGGCACAGGTGGTGCGCAGCCACGTGGGAGAACAGCTGGGTTTTGCCAACCATCTCATCTACTCCCTGGCCATCTTCCAGTCCATCCTGCACAAATATGACAAGTAAGACACACACAGGACCTCTTGTTTTACTGTAGTTTGTATGATAATCGATGTTGCACAGTCTTGTTAAATACATGTCATGTAATGAGTACTTCTATAAAACAAATTTTAAAGGTACATCTAGTCCCATAGCCTTTGCTTCAGTTGGAGTAGACAAATCTCACAATCTTTTCACAAGAAAGAGACAAATTTTGCTGTCTTAATATTTCTAATTTTCTTGTCAATTGCTATCAACATGTATGCATCTATATGCATTGAAAGTGTTAAAGTTGGCTTTGATATTGGCATTTATGTCCTACCTGGGCCGCGATTACGTTCAATATGGGTGTTCCGGCCCGTGTGATAACTAGCGGTACGGCCCGGGGTTTCTTAACGCGTACGGCCCGGCCCTTCCAAATGTTCCATAGAAAGATTCGAACGCGTTTCGCCCTAACCGCGTGCAACGCTTTTGAAAATTCGACTGCAAAATTCGGACGTTGGAATTGACGTTGTTGCGTTTTTTGGGATTAGGGACACCAAATTTTTGCTCATTTCGCATTGAAAGGCGTGTTTTCGTGGGTGGGTATGACATAAATAAAATACAACACGGTGTATTCCGCATCACCCTCGGTCCCAGCCCTCCTGCGGATCGGATCTCCCTCCGGCCTTCGGCCGTCGGGCGATCCGACGCACGGTCGGGCTGGTACCTCGGGTGATACGGAATACACCGTGTTGTATTCTGTATGTCTCACCACCATTGTTGTTGTTGTGTTGTAGAGCCCTGAACTCTTGTTCTGTGGAGCTGTACATGAAGGTGGGGACCCTGTACCCAGAGATGGCCCAGCACGAGAGGGCACTGGATCACCTCATCGACCTGCTGAAGAAAGATCAGGTACTGTCTGCACACCAAGTCAGCTCATGGGCTTCAAAGGGTCCTACATCCTACAAGTTTCATTTCATAAGTATATATGGTGATTGATAAACATTATGGCAATGAAACTGTCAATAATTATGAATTTGTGTGTGTGTGTGTGTGTGTGTGTTTATTTATGAAATAATATCCTGTTGTCTACTTTTCATTGGGGTCATGACTCATGAGGGAAGAGGTCAGACAAAATATACTATATTATTAAGATAATACAGGTTACAGACCCGCAGAGAGCGACTGAAGCTGTATATCGTCTGGCAAGACGACAAGGGCCCAAGACAGGTCACATGATTGAAGTTCTAACAAATCCATATAAACTTATTATTGATAATAAGTACAGTTTTAAGACTTGAGAACTGACAAGAGATCATTTTCTTCCAGCTGGATGAAACAGTGTCCATGGAAGCATTGAACAAGGCTATTGCTTTCTACCAGGTATGTATTGACTCATTTAGCCAAGTCTTAACACAGTTATGTAGTTGTGGGTCTGTGTACTTGTAATCTTTTCTGTGTTCATCTGTCAATATCATTCACCAGTTCTGCAGAATAGTATTGTTTGTTCCTGTCTTCTTTTTGTGTTTGGTGTTGTCTTTTTCATTGCACCATCATGTCTTTGTTGCTTTCTTCTAAACTATTACAGATTGCACCTTTCCTCTTTCAAAATTGTTTGCATGTGTTGCAAAGTGTTGTTTTTCACCTACTTTGTACTTAGTCTAGTAATTGTCTTGCTGCCACTGTCAATGTGTCCCCTCCCACCTCCCCAAAAAAGTTCAAGAGCATTTAGAGTACTTAAAGTTAAGTTTGAAATCAATGGTATAATACACTAGCCTAGAGATAGCTGAATAGCTTTAGACATACCTGACATTATACAAGCCTTAGTTTAAACTAACACTTTTTACCTTCCTTTGTTACTGGACTGCAGCAATTGTTAACCATATATGTAAGTAGTATATCAGGGATCCAAGGCTTTCAGTTGGGGATTTTGATCACGTTTCTGTCACCACGCAACACCACGCATTCTTCAGCAAGAAAGAGGAAAGGCACACTCAGTCACTTTAGCCTCTTGCGCTAGTAGTAGTAATTTTTTCCCGGTGAAGTGGGGGATTTCACATCTTGCCACGTTCTCTACAGGCTGCCAGAGACTATCTGGAATCTCAGAAAAGGCCCAAGGTATCATCTCTTGCAACAACACCTCATAAGCTAATTATTTTTCACGCCCCCCTTCCCCACAGAAAATGGTACATGCCCCATGTGCACCTTGGTATGCCTGTGATAGCATGAAGAAGGATCCCCTGTTAAGTTTTCCCAGCAATTTTGGTATGAAGTGTTTTTGAGGTTTCAAGGTATTGAAGACGAACCAAGCAGACATGTTTTGGTACAGTTAGAAAAAAAACTTGCAGGAAAGCCAAGTGAAGAAACCTGAGCTTGCCATGACTTACTATGTTGTACTTTCCATCATTTACTACCAGTATTCATCGCAAATAGATTCTGCACTACAAAGGGAATATTGCTTATTTTCAGGATAACTTTGGATGTTTATAGCAAGGAAAATTGCATAAAACAAACAATCAGAGTGATTTAACATTTGGCATGAAGATCAATGTATTGTACAATTCTGACTGTACTTATGACTACCAAGTGTGAATCTACCCATAAAAAATTCTGGAGATGATACAGCTCTCATCCTACTACTGTCCCCATCTGTCTTCTCACCATGCACCAGATTTGCCATATCTCCTGGGCATTGCACACAGCATGGTCCTAATCACACTGCCTTGTGTTTACCTGCCAGGCTTCTGTTGGAATGCACTGGTTTGTAAGACATGAGAATGTTGCCGTTTTATTTTTAAAGTACTGTTTAGGTATGATGATTGTACTTCCTGCCATAAGAAATAATGTTATCAACTTGAAGTCAATAATAGTTAGTTACCAGATTTTGTAGCCAGATGTATGTTTTAGGTTATATTTGATTTCCAATCAAAAGATTAAAATATAGGTAGACTAGTTGAAACATGATACATAATGATCAGAGGAACCTATTGGTAAGACAGAAGATTATAAAAAAACTTCAGTGATGATCTAACTCACTTTAGAACATTAGATCACTGCCATACTACCTTCTCTGTTATGTTGTTGTACATTGTATGTCTTTGAAGAGTCCAAATTGATCTGTTTGAAAAAAAGATGCTATGAATGCTAAGCAAAGAGATCATAACTATTACTCCTCTACTGTGTCAGTAGTTCATGTCTTGTAAACTGAAAACTTGTCTTTTGTTTTCCTTAGTCTTTTCAGTTACTTTTACAGTTACTAGTTGTACATCATTGTGCACGGGTCACAAACATTTTGAAGCTATTACCCCCCAAACCACAAATGGCATCACCCGGTTAACCTCCGCCCTCCCCTCTCCCTCCCTATTTACAGCACCTGTACAGCGTGCACCTGATGAACGAGGTGGTGGACTGTACCACCCTGCTCGGGGACCACCTGCGCATCACGTCGGCAGCGCAGGACAGCGTGCAGACCGACCTGAACCGGCTCAAGGTGCTGCTGCACCCCGGACAGGAGACCAGCGACTTCGCCATCCTGCTCAAGGACCTGGAGACGTCCAACGGGGACTGTAGACAGTTTGCCAAGAAGGTGCGTGTGTGTGTGTTTGCTATGTTTCTCATTCATGATCTTTGGCTTGTAGCTAAGGTAAAGAGAAATGCTGTTAGATAAAAATATGCAAATTACACAGTACTTGTACAGTGTTTGTCTTGCAAATTGCATCTGAAAATAAGTTGGTTTCCACAGTACAGTTTTTAAAGGTGTAAAAATGATAGTTGTCCGACATAAAGAAGCTTAATCATAAGGTATTTTTTATTTACTTGTATGAAATGTAGTACAGACTGAACCACTTGTATGAATTATGACATGATCGCAGCTTTTTTCCATGAGATGTAGTGTCAGGTGAAAAGGCTAGAGGGCGTTACTGTAACATGTTCTTGTCTTCTTGTTGTTGCTCCAGATCAAGAGACACATGCCTGGTGAGGAGAGCTCCAGGACCCTGTCCTTTGGACAAGAGGTACATGTAAGCTCTGTCTCTGATTCTTCTGGTGTCGTGTCATGACATCATCTTCATCTTCTCTTTCTTATCTTCTCTCATGCCTTCATTTCCCTCAACTTGTACCTTACAAGAAGTTCTGATTGCAGAGTATTACTTGATCTTTACCCTTCTCCTTGCTGTTGAGTACTTCCAGTGTTATGATCAGTGCTCAACATAAGTCAGCAGAGGGAAGGTTAAACATTATGTATCCTCTTCATTGAGATACACACTGTACAGATAATGAGTAGTTAATACCAGTATACACAATCATTGCTAAATTTCAGTGATCACATCATAATCATGATCAATACAGTATGCTGCATTGTAAAAGGTTAATATCAGAGAATGTATTAATGAATTTTTGATGATATACAAGTATTAAATGAGACCATTGCCAAGTAACTAGTACATTGTAAGTCACAACTACTAGACTAGGAAGCCTGGTTGATATTGTTATCTTTTGTAACTCCTTACAATAAGCTTAAAGTGATTGATGCAGTGTCAACTAGCACAAAGCAAAACTAACTTTGCCACATGGATGTTGGAAGGTTCCATGTTGGTTGTAGGGGAGTAAGTGAGTTTGTTGTGCTTAAAGTAATCAATGCAAAATCAACCAGCAAATTAAGCAAAACTAGCTGTAGCCACAGAGATGTTGGAAGGTTCCATGTTGGCTGAAGGGGAGTGAGTGTGTTTGTTGTGCACCTGCAGGTGCAGGACTCCCTGGCCGACTGTGCCAAACACCTGGACCGGCTGGTCAGGTGTCTGCAGGACATCACAGCAGGTGCCATGTCCCAGGCTGCTTTACTTGGTGGTGCGTATCATTTATGCATTCACACCAGTTTAATTATTAGTAGTTGGTTCTGGGATTTGCCCACTTCATTTTTTTCTGATTTTCAAAAAAAATCTGCATCTGCATACCTGCACAGCTCCAATTTTACCTGCACTAAGGTGCATATATGCACCCAGTATTTTAAACCCTGGATAGTAAATGTATTTCATACCAATTGAATGGCTATCACTCCAGCTGAATACATGAAAAGAAGAACCAGATAAAATCAGTTACACCAATATGAGCTTAAAATATCCTTGGTTTATGCCAATTAATTGTTGAAATGAAGTTTTATTTGCTAGTGTTTACAAATACATATAGCTGATTACAATGTACGCCTTGTTGACTTGTTTGTTTTGCTTTGCTGAAGGTTGTAGTCGTCTCCCAAAAGTTGTTGAATGTGCTGAAAGTAGGAGGTAGGCTGTTGTCCTCATCTGCGTCTGCTGTAAAAGGGCTGGTAGAGGACAGTCTAACAGGTTCATCCTCAGGCATATGCAGAATGTGTCCCTGGAAATTTAGCTGTCTCAGCTGTCACGCTACAAAGTTTACAACTACATGTACTAGTACCTGATCACAATGTATGCCTAATTGTTGACTTGCTTGTTCTGCAGACAACGAGGGTATCCAGGCCAAGAAGCTGGAGGAGCTGGCCTTCAAGGTGTCGGATCAGGTGTACGGCAAGGACGACACGGGCCCGTTTGAAGCCATGAGGTCAGTATCTATTACTGTGAATGTTATTTTTCATTTGTATTAACCAACCAGATTTGACCAATCAATAGATCAAATTGTGATCATAGCAATTGGAATCCCATTGGTAGGATCCATTGATAACTATTTTGTTAACTATGACTCTTCATTGGAGCATGAAAAAGTGAAGGTACATCATTTTTGCATTCCAAAGATAACAAGATGTCAAAGATTCAGTCCTCCAAAAAGTACAATGTATGCAATACTCAAAAGTAACAACAGTTAGAATTGTAGGAATTGTATGGAAGTCATTTATCAGAAAGGTGCATTTCTCATTCCGTCTACAGGATGTCATTCTCCCTGCTCATCATAGCAATGAATAAACTGTCAACTGCCATGATGGAAGGAGAATACGATTTCCAGGGGCCACCTGAACCTAAGGTAAGCCACTACCTTCTGTTGAAGCCATCTGGGTCTTTGGCATACTCTTGAGTTTAATATGAAGAAATACAGCTAGAAAAGAAAGGTGACTTATGATAAGTTACCATTCTTCATGCTACAAGTGGGAATGTGATCACTAATGAAGGCCATAGAAAGGCTGGTATGAACACTTTTGGCACTGGATAAAACATGGCAGTTCCTACAGTATGTTCAGGGTGATGGTTGGATGAAAGCAGCTGATATATGATATACATCAGCTAGTTCATACATATGATATTCACATTCTGATGTGACTTTATGCTGTTGACTGTTCATGTAGTCCGCTGCTAGGGTAAGCGTTGATGACAACCAGTCTGGTTCTTCTCAGTTCTATCTATTTACTCTGTCCATGGAATCTTTACAAGTTGTATTGAGTTGGTTCTTTTTCTTGATTTTGTTTCAAATTGCCTTGAATTTCTTCTCTTCTTTCCTTATCTTGTATTTGACTAAGCCTGTAAGTTACTAGTTGATTGGCTCAATGGTTCAAAATATATGTCTAAATTCTCCTGTTACAATTTTTTTTTGATCGTCAAAGCACACTCAATCAGTGTTTAATACTTGGATGCTAGCAGTGTTTTGCTGATTGCATGAAGAAAGACAGCACTGTGCTTCGAGCGGAGAACAGGCTGTTATATACAGCATTTCTCATCAATATTAATTAATGTTTTCAGAAATAAACACACTTATTATGTCATTTGATCATTTGTATGATTGGCATTAAGCTTGCCTTTGAAATAACAGTTACTGTCCTAGTTGTGCAATATATTGTATGTGGTGTAATTGTAAAATTATAGACACTGATGTCTGAACATCATTTGACAGTTTTTGGAAACTCCTTGAATACTTTATTTTCCTCAAATCTTATTCCTTCATTGACTTTGCATGGCAAGTTTATGGTCTTTTATGGTGATAATCATGACACTTTTCTGCTCCAGACATATTCAGTCACATTTCATGACACTTTTGGGACCTTACAGTCAAATATTTTGGAAAGAGTCAAATCACTCACTCACATTTCACTTAGTAAAATGTAATAACTTTTGTGTAGTTGTTACGTTTTCTATTAGTGATGATAATTATAGTTTAGTATAGTTGCAGAGACTTACATTGCATGGCAGCATCATTGATTGCTGTGCTCTCCATACATGTATAATAACAACTCAGAAACAGATGAACACACAGGATGTGACTATGAAATCACACATAGATTGGTACATTTGTACATAGTTCCTATGTCCACCATGTGTTCTTGTGATGTGTGTTACATACATGTAATTGTTACATACACTATTTCTCAATTCTGTCCTATCATCATATTTCATAACATACTACTGCAATACAGTGTATTAGTGTATAATCCAAAATCTGTTTTCATTTCTAGTTTAATCATTTGACAAGTTTCATTGTAGTTTTCAGGAAGAAAATGGAGCTAGATTACAAACAAGTGGGTCTAACTGTTAACAGCATTGTAACCCATGATTGATTGTGTCAACATTTTCTTCTATTAGTGCTCCCAATTGATTATTACACATTCAAGGTTGAAGTCTGGTGCCCCTATCTTAGTCAACACAAAACATTGAATTTCACTCTCTAATAACACTTGATATATGGTTGGGCATAGGTAGTGTGTACCCCAGCAAACATAGGTACAACCAGTCACCTAAATTCTAACTTTTATGTGGTCAAGGAACACATTTTGAATCATCATGGTACAATTAAGAAAGAACAAGGGACAGAAGAAGCAATCAACTTGTCACTCAAATATGGCCTTTTTGTGAGACCATAGGTCGTCTGCAAATTGCTACTGAAATGTACAATGTGTCAACTCATTTCACTCACCAGCCATCTCCACATGGTAACCATGGTTTTTAAACAATGTGTTACCATGGAAACAACCTGACAGGCTGTTCTGTCCTCTTGTACAGCACCCATTCTCCAGAAAATACCACTGCTCACTTGTAGAATACCCCCCTCCCCATGACCACATATAATCTCTAGTGTGTTTGTGTGTCTACAATGGCACGGACCTGGCTAACCCTCACTATCCTGTGTGTTCTCGGCTGCTAGGATACTCGTCCATACGCTGTCCACTTCCTCCGACCGTCAGCCACTGATAAGTACTCCTCTCTATCGACTTCTTTAAGTGTACGTGTGCATGCACCTTCTCTGCACATGCACCGCTGCATGCCACATGTTCAACATGGCTGACCCGCTCCCTTACTACTACTTCTTCAGCAGCGTTTCTTAACAGTCTTTACTTTCTTTTCTCCCCAAGACACTATCAGTAGTAAATCCGTACAGGGGGTAATGATACAACATGTATCTCAATTTTTCAGAGCTCATTTTCCTGTTAGATCACGCTAAATCCTACATTCATTACCTCTTTCCTTAATGACTTCATTCATGATATCTACCATCATCCCCCCATACCTCAAGTTCTGCTTTTCTATAACAGTTACCTGGTACAGAAAAACCTTTTCAGTTCGTTTTGGTATGTTTCCTTTTTTGACACCCATCTACCACAACATTATTTTACCTTGACCAGTGATTCCATATTTCTTACACTTTCTACACATGTTGTTCTAAGCTTCAACTTTTACAAACTTCTAAAATCTACTCCTGTCTCCCGGCCGATGTTGATATTCTTAAGGATGGAGTAATCCTCAATGCTCGCAGCAGTGAGTGACTTGTTGCCCCACTTGTAGTAGGGCACAACTTGCCCTCTCTACTACATACATCCCTACTGCTAATGTCATTCTTCTTTTTGTACGTCCAAAGCCCCAACCACCGGTGGCGATCCGAGCGACGAAGGTAAAGGGAGAGATCCTGGACTCGGAGGGGATGGGTCTGAAGCTGGAGGACAGGGAGACTGTCATACGGGAACTCAAGAAGTCCCTGAAAATCAAGGTTTGGTTATTCCCATCTGTGTGGGCCTGCTGGGAAGGCCTGTAGGTGACTCTGTAGTGTAGTGTGTAACATGTCAGATCCTCTGGCGCTAACCTACAGACTGCTGGCATTTCTAACTACTAGTCTCTGTTTAGTGTTCTCAAGTTGTTCAAAATGAAGAATATTGTTTGGGAAGTAGAGTATAAAATATGAAAAGTGAAAGATCAGCTTATACAGTATATGAGCTTCATTTATTGATTCATTAATCCAAGGGAATACACAGTTCTAAGTTGTACTGCAGTGTCTTCTGTAAATCTTAAAATAATGTTTTCTATCATTTTGGACAACTTGGCTTCTCTTCTTAGCTAATAGAATATGCACTTTGCAAAGTAAATGCTTTAGTTAGCACATCTCTCTTAGACTAATGTTGCTGTTCATTGTCTCCCTAACCTTGTGCCTGCCCAGTGTGACGAAGTGGCTGTCTTACGCACACGGCTGCAGTGCCTGCCATCTCGCTCCACTTTCTCCCGGATGGTATCCACAACCCTACTCGTGTCACGTCTCCACTCCCACTGGAGATATATCAGTGTTAACTGCTGAAGCATCACTGCACTGAAATTTGATTGATTGTTAATATAACTAATTGCAAAGGATGGTCAACGAGGCTATTCTCCCTATAACCTTGATGTGGCTTACATGATTGTGATTGTCATATGAAATCAATTTTCAGTGCAGGAAATGCTGTGCTATTTTGAAGAGGTTTGAAAAACGTCATTGTTGCCACCTCCCCCTGATGCTGTTAAAATGCTTTATGGCACTCACTTACAACATGAAAACTGTATTGTAATAATTGTGTTTGACAGCAAGTTGAAACAGTGACAGAAAGGTAGCTGAATGCCTGAGGGATTTGGGCAAGTGTGCAGTGACGTTAATCAAACCTCAGCACATAACATTACCCTACCCTACATTTCATCATGTTCTACCTTCCCATGTAATACTAATACATGTACATATAACAATCACACAGTGTCATATCCATGCCACAATGATAAACTGTTTCTTTCTTCTGTTTTTCTTGTACCAGAGTGAGGAGTTAAGTGAAACCAACGTCCGTATCGGGCTGTTGGAGAAGAAGCTGGACAATGCGAATAAGGAGAGTGACAGTAAGACAGAATACCTGAAGGTCCAGCTGGAAGAAACCAACGAGGCCCTCCGCAAGAAGGAAGAGTGAGTGGAAATTCAGGCTTTGGGTTTTTTTGTATACTAGAAATTAAACTTTTCTATTGACAGTGTGCCTTTATTATATATAACTCTAAACTGACAGTGATTCTCTAGATCAAAGTTGATAAGCACAAGTTAAAACCTCCTTGGTTATGCATTAATTTTGTTGATTTGACTGTAAATCAGAACCAATTTGGAAGCATAGAGTATGCTGAAGGTTAATATGCTACATGTAACTCTGCTTCCACAAGAAAACTTTTCTCAATTGTTGAACATTAAACTGATAAGTTACTGTACAAATTACTTGACTTGTACATGTATTCAGAACAAATTTGGTCATTTATTCTGAATTTCAGACAGTTTTGTTAACATTACTACATTGTTGTACATGAAATGAGAAAACAACTGACAACTGGTACTGCAATGTAGATGTTGCTCTGTTGTTTCCCTCCTCATGTGTTGTATGCAAATCTCCAGGGAGTTTGAGAGAACCATGGACGCCCTCCAGGCTGACATTGACTCGCTGGAGGCAGAGAAGGCCGAACTGAAACTGAGAATGAACCAGATGTCTAAACGCTCTCTCCTGGAGGGTCTGACACGCCACCAGGCGGCCCCCTCCGGTATTGCAGCTGTGGTGGCAGGGGCTGCAAGTGGTAGTGGTAAGAGTGTTTCTGTGTACCTGTAACATTTACAAAGTCCTAATTTTATAACTTGATAAAAAGTAGTCAGATCCATTAGAAATATTTTCTTTGAATAAAATTTTCTGTCTTTGTCTGCTTTTGTTTTTGTGGAATGTGTACCTTTCTGTTGGCTTTCCTTGCATCTTAAATATAAACCATGTATGCCACACACTGCACTCTGTATGCTATTATGCTACTGTGTTGAAGGAATTTTGAGACATTCATTGATGCTTTCAGTTCATAGATAACTTTTCTGTCGTAATCATCAAACACATATTTCCTCACTACAAGAACTGCTTGTGATGACTAAGGTTTAAGTACAAAGATGGGGACATTCCTTAGGGAAGCTTTTCCATCCTTTTACAAATAGTTAGTGAACCATCCCTCTTGATGTGACACCCTGGTGCCTGGATAGGATAGTTACTGTACTTTCCCTCACGTCTGCTGTTTTCCTCTCCTGTCTCTCTCACACCACAGATGTAGTGCCTGGAGATGTGTCGTGGGGTGAAGGTGAGATGACATCTTACACACAACTCACAACTACCTTCTTTGTCTTTCCTTGTTTTTTCATTGTCACGTTCATGTTCTATAGTATCATTTTGTTGTTTTGCTTAAGCCTGCCCATTTCACCAGTCACACTAATATGTCCTCATTTTCTTGTCATGAACAGTATTGTAGATTGTGGTTTAATATCACGGTCATGTCTATGAGCATAAATCAGTGTTATTCCCAGGTTTGCTGTAACTTTCCCTGTGGTGTCCAGTGTAGCTGTGATGTGTTGTGATATTTTCCATTCAAACATATTAATAATAATATATTAAAAATAATTATTAATTACAATTCTTTTTGTTACAAGTCGAACATGAAATCCCCAACATATGTAAGTTGGTAACACATGTCTGTATCCTGTGCAGTTGACAGTACCTCCCCCCTCCCCACACATGTCTACTGGTTCCCAGTCTAACTGTGCTGTATGTACATTACAGGTATGGGCAGTCCGACATCCCCCGTGGTTCCCATGACAACTGGCCAGACTCTGGTCCGAGACTCTCCGCTGCTCCTGCAACAGGTCAGTAGCTCATTCTACTAACCATCCATTCATCATTCTTGTAAATAACCACAAGGTACATGTGGTACTAGTAGGCATTTTTGCTCGCACTCATCAAGTCTTGTGTTGTGGCCATGTGCAGCATCTAGTGTGGCTAAGTTGCATGAAGTCAGAGAATAATGATACCATGAGCTATGAAGTATGACTCCACGGGTATCCTTCCTTACAATGACGTGTGTGTCCCTGTTTGTGACAGATTGATGCCTTGAAGGTGGCTCTTCACCATGTCAAGCAGGAGAACTTCAGACTACAGGCACAGAAGATGAACGTAAGTTACTGTCGGAGTCCTTGATATTGCAGTTTTATATCATTCATGATTGAACTGGTATTACATAATCTTCTATGACGACAATAACCCTGGGTCTTTACAACGTTACAACTTTGTATACCCACTAATGTACTGATCTTTTTCCAGGTGTTCTGTAATTGTCAGTCTGAGTTCACAATAACATGTGTTGATGAAGTCATCATAGCTCACTAGAAATTCACAGCTCTGTTACCTGAAGATATTACTGTACTACTAACAGAACTCAAGAGTACTTGCCTCAAAATGTGTGACACTGTCAGTTAAAGTCATGCCTTTCCAGTGGTAAATAAAACTCATCAAAGATTGTTCTTCCTTGCTTTTGGAAATGATCATGCCAGCCTCTTAATTATACTGTTATAGAATTAGGTTTTGTCCTTCCAGAACTCAGTGTTTGACTCCGATATCTAAGCTGTACCTGTTTCCCCCCAGGCCCAGCTGGCCAGCCTGCCCCCGCTGAAGGTGCCTAAGAAGCCGACAGGTCTGATCAGTAGAACAGGACTGGTCCAAGTGGAGGGAGGGGGAGGGGACGCAGCACCCTCCAGGAACAAACTCAGCGAACTCACCAGGAAGACTGACAAGCTCCTCACAGTGAGTCGGCTTGATAGAAAAGCTTTCAATTGTTATAACAGGAAGGATTTAAACTGATATGGTAAAATCTTTCATGTATCCAGGTCATATGTAGATACATCAGAGCCCACAAGGTTTAGTACTTATGTTGGCCTTCCAGTCATAGTAAACAAGAATGTGTCTACAAGAATGTGAAGGCAATATTTAATTTCCTAACTCCCCCTGTCTTCTCAGGATCTGTTCCACATGAGTGCCTGCCCTAAGGTTGTGGATATCTCTCAAAGAAAGCCAGGTATGTACAAAGATGAGAGATCCAATTTTTTTTTTACTTGCCTGATGGTGATACAGTTGACCTAGGATTTAAGACACTGGCAATTGCAATGATGTCTTGATTAACTACTGGTAAGTAGATATTTCTAACAGGTATCTGCACTAAAACATGCTTATGTGCCAATAACATCATGAAATGTGATATCTCCATTGCATCGCTGTATCCTTGTTCTTTTGTTATTAAGCCTACAACATCACTCTAATCTGAAGAATACACAACATTCTATGATGACATGGTGTTGCCGTAATTTAGGTACTGTTAGCAAGTTACAGACAACCACTCCTCCCCATGTATCAACAACATGAATTGGTACAGACACAGACAATGACATGTTGTTGTTATATTTCAACAATATATATATATTTCAGGCACTGTTCCTGTGCTGGAGAAGGCCACCCCTGCCCACCAGCTGGCCCAGAGCACAGCCCGGATCCAGGCCATGCAGAAGGCTGCTGACCAGGTCTGATCACCTTCACACAGTCTGGGCTCTGGAAATGACTAACTTCTTGATAACAGATCAGTGACACAACATACTAGTACTTACCAGCCAAATTTTATATAACATTGCTGAGCAAGTCAAATCCTTACATTGACAGAATCACCTGACTTTATTCATATCCCAGATAGATGCTTAGTGACACATTGAAGATAAGTGTGCTGTTGACTAAGTGTGTACTTGACTGTTGGCCCGTATATTAGGTTACATGTACTTTGATTGATTTAATGTTGTATTGTTATACTTCTGATTAAAATGAGACAACTTTGCGGCACTGGTAATGGGAGTCTTCTGTCTGTGCATTTAGAAGAAAAAGATGTCAGAAACTATCGTACACTGTTTCAACGTGCAATAGATGAGCTTTCAAGATGCCAGGGTATAAAATGCATTTGTTGTGAGAGTTGTGCTTGTAGCAACGTTATCTACTGCCCTGTTTCAGCTCCACAATGAAGTGCAGGCTTTGGTAGCAGCCCAGCACAAGGGAGGGCAGGTCAAGGGAGACTTTGCTGCTTTTTCGTCTCCAGAACTTGCCAAGGTATGGGCCCTGGAAATAAAACCTCCAGTTAATAACAGAATATCTAATATGGCCATGAAAAGTAGTAATTTTTTTGTAGAAAGGCTACCTTTGTACTACTGGTATCCTGCATTCATGAAATTTCCTCATGTGTCCCATCATTTAAAACTAATGTCTTATACAATGGTGAGTACCCACTTAGATACAAACACTTATACATGCAACATCTGTATCTGTTTAGCCAGTATAACCGCCCTTCGGCATAACACACCACCAGAACATGTCCCATGACTGACTTTTTAAATGTCATTGTCCTATATACTATTGGGTATTAAAGGAGTACTAACCTCCAGAAGGAGGTGCTATATTTCGACAGGCATTTATTTTTGGAAGTGAAAAATGCATATTATTTTACAGTATACAATTAAATACCCATTTTGCGCGCAAGTCTTAAAACGCATCGAATCCAGGACAAACTCTCCAAATACCCTCAAAACTATCCCAGAATACACCACGCTACCCCATTGGTGTCTATGTTTTAAACAAAAAGTTACGTTACAGACCTCATTTCGGGGGCGATAAGAAAAATTCGTACCGTTTTGTGTTCTTTGGTATCTTACCAACCATTGTCCTTCTTGGTGTCCTTATCGCCCCTCATTTATGCCGCAAATATTGACGATGAAAAAAGCGGCGTAATCTAGTTATCCTTTCCATAAGTGGCGTAATCTAATTATCTGTTCAAGTAATACTTACATGCAAATAAGTTGAGAAAATCAAAACACGCAGGATGAAACTAGCTCCCACTGTATTCGACATCCTGATATTGTAATATCCAAGCCACAGGTCAAGCAAAGTAAAGCAAGTAATTTCTCAATAATCAGCTTGTTAGTGTGTCTGTCTCCTATCATTTTCGTCCAAAAATGTTAATGTTGACCTGAAGTGTATGAGTATCGCGTAAGCCAGAGTTCCCGGATGTATCGATTGTGGTTCAGCATGGGGAAAAATGATATTAATATCACTTTACAAACATGCGCCGCGCAAGTCGTACAAGCGAAATTATGTAAAAAGTCGGCTAGTTATGCATTCATTGCAGCATGATGTATCGGAAAACAGCACTTCCTTCTGGAGGTTAGTACTCCTTTAATTAATAGTCCTGATCTTGTCCCCTTCTCTCTCCCCAGGCCTTGGAGGAGAAGGAGAACTCCATCTGTGTAGGAAAGATCAGCCTGCCCAGCTCAGAGAAGGGTCTGTTCTCTGTCCACCTCCAACCCAAACATCTACGAGAAATCCACTCCAAGTTCATCAGCTGAGGCTGAAGTCATCTACACTAGTGTCAAACAGATCAAAGCTGTCTACAAGATGCACTGGGGATAATTCACTATTATTAATTCTTTTCATAATTATAACCTTCTTGTTATGTAAGATTAAGAAGTACTGTATCATTATGAAAACTAGCTCTTCTAGTAAATGGAGTGCCAGACAACATTCATTGCAGTGCTTAAAACTACAGTATTCTTTGTAGCAAGGAACTTTCGATTTGGAAATATTGCTGTCGTTCATCAGTTGAACAGTCATTCGTGAAGTACTGCTTACTATGGTTTTGAGGTAAAAAAAATAAAGCCTATGATGTTGATTTGCCCGACTTACCACCTGTGTGTGCTAGACAGCCTTGATCCAACATTGCTTATTATGTAATAATAGCACATGTATAAAACATGTAATTAAAGCAAGATTTGCAGGCTTGGACATGAGGCCAGGAAAAGATGCTCTCTATGAACTTTGCATCAATGCAAGAACCAGAAACAAACTCATAACGCAGAAATCATGGAATAAGGGTTTACTTTTTCAGTTGTCCAGTTGCATTTCACGTTAATATTGAATTCAAATACTTTTGTCGACATGTCAACTATTGTTTTGAATGCAGACATCACATATAGCTTTTAAACTATGTGGAAAAAGTAATAATTTATGGGTGTTTGGTGAAAGCAAGTACGCTCTTGTTGAACGTCCTCGGTGAAAGATATGCTTTGGTAATCCGGCATTTGTTAACGAAGTACACAAGATCTGGGGATAAATTTACACCCTTGACTTCCAGTAATAGTAAGAGCTCACTGCTGGCTGAAGGATATTGGTATACATGTACTGGTATGTCTGGAAGAACAGGTTTACTTTCTGTCCCTGTACCTGCTCTGCTCTAGCAAGCTTTGCAGACATCTCTATATCATTAACTTGAGCCATGATTTTCAAGTTGGCAAACCTGTTGCTTTTGTTTGGTCTGCATCAATGTCTCTGTTTCAATATCGTTGCCAAGCTAAAAATAAATCCAACCTTAAAGCAACATCTTGTGTTTTTCCTTGTTTTTGTGCTCAGTATCAAATGGGATAAAGTGAAACACAAAAATTTAAAGGGGAGATGAATCGTGAAAGTCGGTAGGTAACATAAGCACCAGGAAACGCAAATGTGGAACTGACAATTTAACTATTGTCTCTGCCCCTCGTACAGTAACAAGTCAAACACATAACATCTGTAACAAACATAACATTTATTATTGCAACTTGTGGAAAGAACTCCATAACAACAGAATACATAAGTATTCAAGAATGATTGGTTAATAATCATGAAAACAAACTAAATACAGTCAAAGTTGCTCCAGTGACCACTGTATTAGTATTAGTAAACAAAGTCAACAGTATTCGGTATCGTGTGGAAATGATATTGCATTGTATCTATAGTATACTGCACAGTGAGTCACAACAAATCTGACTAATCATTAAGTATATATTATGACTTACCACTAAGTATTACCACAGCTTAATATAAGCAGTGTGTATATAAACAAACTTTCTTTGAACAAAAATAAACAATCTCTGTACATTAATGGTACTGCTGTCAGAACTGCACCAAGATACATGCACTGGTCCAGTCTTAGCTGCCAATTCAGCCCATTTCTTGTTTGGCACCAACTCTTGGTCTCTGTACCATTATACTACCATACACTACTTTCTTAAATAAACATCTCTGTACATTTATGGCAGTGTCAAAATACTAGTTTGACTACCAATTACTGACAGGTCCAGCTGCATCCTAACTGAGTAAGTTGGGCTACTGTCCTATTGTTTCTATAAGTATGACTACATTAACCATAAAAGTAGTCACTGAGACACTGACTATCCCTTAGTTGAGTCTTACACTCACCAGTACATAATACTGACTTGCCATACTCAAAGGACTGACCGTCCTCCAATACTGAGTGGTAACAAAAATATCTTGGTATCCTCTTTTAGGTGCAACGGATTCTATTTAAACTTACACAATGTAATCTTCTAAACCTCCACTGCTGTGAGTTCATACAACCTGAGTAATACAGTAATTCTCTCTTTACAATGTAGACATATAATTCAAATGGAAGCAAAGTTGCTATGACACGACAGTTCTTTACATCGGAAAGTTTTGAGGCAATCTACCTCCTGTAGTTTCTACCTCTAGCGTGGTACCTTCCACTTCCGACGTTGATAATATTCCTGTGGTTAGCCACGCGCTGGTGAGGGTTGTACGGCGTGTAGCGCTCCGTCTGCCACGCCCGCTGCACCAGCTGGTTCCTCCCGGCATCCCACGCATGCTGGACGTGCTGGACATTCGGTACGATGTAGTTCTGTGCCAGGTAGTTCCCGCCGGTGAAGTCCACGCCGCTGAACATGTTGGGCTGGAAGCTGATCTGGAAGTTGTACTGCATGCGGTTGTCCAGAGGCTCGGCCAGGACGGGCTTCCCGATCGGCCCTCCGTACCTCTCCTCAGGCGTGAGTCCTGCGGGGAGGTTCAGTCCGACAGGAGAGGCGTGCTGGTTGTGGTGGTGGTGTTGCCAGCTGGTGTTGACGTAGCGGACGGGGCGCGGCGGGTCGCTGAAGCTGCGGATGTCGGGGTTGGACTGGTACTGGCGCGGCGTCTGGACCGTGTTCTGGATGTCCGGGAGTGCGGGGAGGACGTGGCGCGGCAGCTTGTACCCCCAGGCCTCCGTGACGTGGGACAGCAGCAGGTTGGTCATGCGGCGGTGCGCCTCCTGATTCCAGTGCACACCGTCCTTCACGCGCCGCTGCAGCTGGTAGCGGAAGTTGTAGTGCATGTCCAGGACGTCATACCCGTGGGACACCACCACGTCCCGCGCGTAGTAGTTGGCCTCCAGGATGTCCAGTCGCAGCGTCTCGTTCTTGAACTCCACCTCGGGGATGAGGAAGCCGCCGCGCACGCTGTTGGCCACGGGGAGGGTCGTGTTCCAGATCACGAGCGTCTGCTCAGGCAGGACCTCCTTGAACCTGCCGAACAGCTTCTTCAGGTTCTTCTTGTACATCGGCACGGAGCTGGGACCATACCTGGGGTGGGAGGGGGGCAGGGGCTAATTAGTATTTCATTGAGGTGATGAGGGAAGAGACAAAATGTATTACAAAGACACTGTTTACATCATGTAAACACATTTATACACATTTTACACAGCATCAGTCTTTGCTAGTAAGGTACACTGTGCTGTTGCCTCCTAGGCAAATCAGCAAATTGGACCCTTATCCAACAAAGGATTATGGTACAGTTCCTTTTAGAAATCAAATTCGAGGGCCGGTTTAAATACAAAAAGTTTTTTAATAATACTGATAAATAATACTCATGATTAAGAAAATCCTAACATCTGCATATACAAGAGACATCATGAACCAAAAAAAAACTTATTCCTGACCTTGTGATGTCCCAGAGACATGAGTTCATGATGATGAGATCAGGCTGGGGTTCATCGCCCAGGTCTGCCAGGATGGTCTCCATGTACTCACTGTAGGCACGGGTGCTGAAGTAGAACCTGTGGAGCAACAGTACACTGTCAGTCACATATGTACAAACATACATCCGGCTTAAAGTTTAATAATAGACATGTCTGTGACAAAATTCTTTATGGAAACTTTTAGCTTTTTGTGTAACTAAGAAGCTAGCAGCAAGTCTGTTTAGTTCACCATAAACCAGCAGCATAAGGCTTTTTTACTCTACATTTCTGTGTAATGATAACATTTTCACACCAGACCAATAGGCATAATTTTTTCACACCCTGTCACACTCAGTTCAAAAAAGCTTCCACTTCTTGTGGTGCTAAAATACCACGAACCAACCAAGTCAGGCAACATTGGAACTAAGCACAGCAAAACACACACACCTTTACAACAAACAGTTACAAGTCAACATCTTACATCTGTACAGTCGAAAATTTGGGTCAGTCCAATTTCTTGTGTTGGCAATTACAGTTCAATCTTGTTCATCTTGTTCATCTTCTCCTAATCTTGTTCATCTTCTCCTACAACACATCTCAGTTGTAGACAAACCCTAGTCAGTAACCCACCTGACAAGATGGTGGTCTGTCCGGTACTGTCGCACCTCCCTGTAGTTCAGCTTGTTGGTCATCTCCCCAAGCCGTCCTCCCTCCACCAACACATCTCCCTCAAAGTGAAGCTCCCCCTGGAGGATACAGATGGTAATGCATGTTAACCAATGGCTCTTCTTTGCCACATTTACATGAAACCCTAGTCTTTTAAACTGGTAAAACAACAGAACAATTCATGTTCAAATGTACTGTACTACGGGTAAGCAAGTGATACATGCCATCAAAAAGAACAATCTATGATTCCAGAGTTGTTTTAAACACAACTTTAAAACAGTACTGAACGTCATTTCTCCTTCTATCATGAAATGGACTGGCAAAAATGAATTTACAGTCAGTCAGTCTATTACCTTAGCCTTGAGCTGTCCCTCCTGTAGATAGCGGTTCCCCTGTAGTAGAACCACCAAGTCTTTGTAGATGCCACGCTGGACTGGAAGAACATGAAGACATGTGAGAATGGACACTCATACAGTTCCATGAACCACTTCAAGCAAACATTCAGCAAGTCTAAAATCATGAACTTGCCGTTATGAATAATTTTCTCTGTAGACCTCAAATTTCATGCCAGAAAGAAACTGATGACTCTGGTCTTAGAAAACATGCATAGATTTTGACAGTAGAAAAAATGTCATCAGATTAGGATTCTACCATGGTCAATAATTAAAATTGACTGAGAGAAGCCGCAAATACATGTTCTTTTATAATTTTCTTCAGAATATTTCTACATTTAACAAAACAGAGCAAAGGCAATGACACTTACTGGAATCACCGATGACTACCACAAACTTGTTGTGGAGCAGTTTCCTCATGTCCTCAGTCAGGAAGATGGCCATTGTGCTGTATTCTGGTCAAGAACTGGAAAAAAAAGTGAAGAAAACTCTTACAAGATGCCAGAAACATGGTCAAAACCTGATCAACAACTATGTAACTGTTAGTATATAATAGTTCTATCTTTTCTAGATTTACCTATCGAAAATTCCACTGGTTTCAAGTCCACAAACACTGAAAGTCCACAAACACTGAAAGTTGACTTATCCTCAAAAGGGAATGTCTCTTACAACTTTATTTTCTTGCTTCATTCATGCATGGTGGTATAAAACCTCCATGATTCATGTTGAATAGCATAGACAGAGTTCAACTTGTGAGCTTGAAGTGAAACGGTACAAAGAGACATTTTCTGCTGAGCAGTGAAATGGTCTAAAAAACAATGGCTTTTAAATATAATATAAAGTGTAAAGCCAGGAATGAAAGATTCTGTAAATTTTCTACTTTAGAATCTACCATTCTCAAAGCATGAGCTGCTACAGAAGTCACTTTCTGCATTATAAACCAAAGGAAAGAGCAAAACAGAACAAACCAACTTCAACACACAAGATAGGAACCACAAGCCTTACCTGTAGGGTAGCTGCTCCCAAACTGACTGAACTACCCACAGAAGTCCCACTACTTATACAGACCTGCTAACAGCCAAACTGTCTCTGATTTTACAAGACAAAACCATTGACACTCTACCACCAAAGAGATGTAAATCAAAACAATATGTGTCCTAGACATTGATTTATGAATGAGGTTTTGTTATTCATGAGGGAGAGGCTACTAGTAGTCTTTGGCTGGGGGTTTAGGACAATAGGAACTCCTGTAAGTTCAAAGGCTTGGAATAACAAAGAGGTGAGAAATACCTGATTGCCCTGGACAGTACAGGTGTCAGACATGGCTCTTTTACCATGAAAGCCTGTCTAGAAACATATTGGTACACATTGCTGTGAAATTTCACATGTGCCCAGCTTGAAAATCGAAAATGACAACAGAATATTGACCACAGAAAATTTTATCAAGGAGCTTCAAACTCCATGTTTTTCGATCCGACAGTCATATTGCCCCAGTACTACCCTATTCCAGATTATTTACAAGTGTTTGCAGATAGTTAGAAGTTAAAAGATCAAACCCAACTTTTAGCCACTTGATAATCATGGAACTGATCAAGGAGCTCCTTGATGGAACTGACAGAACTCTTTTCTTCAAGTTCTCATATCACAGTTGTGCAACTGCTTGGTTACAGTAAAAAGCCTTTGAAACTTTATTCATACCACTTTGAAGACTTATTCAGTCTGAATTTTGCTGGCATTTACAATAAAAACAAGAAATCTAAAAATATACTCTACTTATTAAGTTCATAAAATGCATTAAAAATGGATAGGTCTCTAAATGACAGAAAAATAAACATATAGGAGAACTATGTCAATATTTACAGTCAACTAGCCTTTACATGTGGTTACATGTTCATATGGAGTGGCTCAGCAGATTGGTTACTAGTATGTATTGGATGGTCAAGTTTACTAGTAATTTACTAGTACCTGCGTGCCCAGAACTAAAGAAACCTACCAACATAAAACTAAAGAAACAAATGGGCCTGTCTAACATAACTTTGGTTCTGTTATTTGTTTATTTGGAGTGTTACACTAACATCAGTAGAACTACTAATGACTGAAACCTGGGTAATTCTACTGTGTTTTGATACATATATCTGTCAGTCAAAATACAGAATACACATGAATTTGCATGTCAAAAAAATTTATACTTGTGAAATCAAAGGCTGCCGTAATTTCTGGCCTCCCAGGTCAGTTGACATCAAAGACTTCACACAACAAAAGGTGTGAAATGTGTCAAGGAGTCCTAAGCTCCACGCGTCCTTTTTAAATACAAATTTCACATTTGTAAAACAAAGAATACAGGTATGTAGGTGGCGTAGGATAAGATTATGGTATGGTGACAGAAAAACAACGAAAACTTTCTCTTCCTTTCTGGTGACATAGAATATTTTCAACCCGCGTATCCGTCGAGTCTTTTTCACGAGAAAAAAAAAAACTTCTTCCACAACAGGCCAAGGTTTAATAGACAAAAACGCCTTCAGCATACTAGTATAACACTATATTTATGATGACTTTATCAAGCACGATGACTTTATTGAAGAATGTTGTCTTTAAGATGTTTATCAAGCACGTTTCCCCTCTGCTGGGAAGAACAAATTCAAACCATATGTTGCTCATAATTTACTGTTGGGACCCGCCATGTTGTTTTCCCACGACTGGTTTCTTGGAAATTTTGCCAAAACGAAAACGTTTTTAAGAGGCGTATTTTGTCAGTCTTTACAGTTACGAAATGGTGCCTACAACGTATTGATTATTATTAGACAAGCATAATTCCCTGACCTGACGAAAAGTAAGAGGAAAATGGCAGATAAGAAGGAAAAGTGACGTGAGAAGTCGACCAAACAACTTCACATTTTCGTGGTCATTTTTCTTCGTGCTCAGCAAAAAAGCACGAGGCACAACATAACGGTCTGCGACGGCACTAACTAAAAACTTCGCTGAACTTCGTTTAATAATAATTGTTGATGCAAATACAACACTTACCAATAGTAGAGGTTTCCTGTAGCTTGAAATTTAGACGGATTTTGATTCAGTTTGAAGAATTTAAAAATTTTACGCCCTCTCCTCAAAATGGCTTTGGTACAGTCCATACATGTCGCTAAATTTGCGCTAAATTTTACAAGCGTCCTGACTCATGAAGATTGCAATTTTTCACATTACCAGGCCCTTTTACTGTAATTCTTTTGCAAGACGCGTTTAGTAATCCCCACTTACTTTGTAAACAAAACATAAAGTAAGAAAATCATTCGCATCCCCCCTTGATATAATGGAATCATCTAATTTTAATCCCCGCAGACTTTTAACCAATCAGATTGGCGTAATTTTCAGCTTCATCCCCAAGCAGCTCATTCCGATCCGCACATTCTCATCACAATTACGCAACGCTTAATTGGTAAACACCGGTGTGTTTTAAACACTTGAGTACCTGCCCATTGTAACATTACCGCAAATTGTAACGGGATCTGCCTGGCATGAATGGGAAAGGTGTCGCCGAGGTTCAGGGGAAGCCAAAGGATCTCTTGGTTTTCGCGCGTCAATTTGAAAACGAGGCTGGCGCTACCATAGCAACGCATGTAAACTACACCTGACCGGCTTACTGTAAACAAAGCTGGCGAAACAGTCCGCAGCCAAAATACGCTACAAATTGGGCCATAGTCATTGATGTATATCGGGATGAATGTTATCCATGCATAAAAACGATGCTCTACTCAAAGACAGCGGAATAATTTTGCACTTTTTGAGCCAAATTTCGATATCTTGGGGTTATTTCTTGGCGGTGATTCGGCCACCAGCTGACTGCACAACATGACAGCGTGGTGACCACGCAACACAACCTGTTTGGCCGCTCCCCAGGCCGGCGATCGAGTTCAGTCGATCATTGTCTGGAGCGTACAAAGCTGTTGATTGCACATTTACTGCACTTGAAGCACGTCATTTTGCCATTGTGGGACTTGTCTCTATACAGACCTCCCTTGGACTCGTCGGATAGGAAAGCTTTTTTTCTGGAACGTTATAATTAATTGAGGACCAGAGAGCCCGGAAGTAACTCGTAAGGACGCTCCACTGTTGATCGGTAGCACACACTGTGTTGTCCGACGTGACATACCTGCTTCAGAGAGGTACGGTAGAAATCGGACAGCCTAACTATGCCGAAAGGGAGAAAATTCGCGCCGGAGACTGACTGTGATGGAAACTGGGTGAGTTCGAATGGACTGACTTTATTTCAGACTTCACAGCGTTAGCGTTACCTTCGTATCAAAATGAATGGCAATGTTGACATTACTAGCAGTGAATTGCCCTGGCAGTAAACGTATGGTTTCTTAGATAGGTGTAGTTAGATGTGTTGCTACCTTCCATACACCTCGTCATAAGATTGGTTATTCTTCAGATTTCAGCCGAAATCTGGTAAAACTTAAGTGCAAAACCTGTGTGATTTAGTCGCGTATAGTGACACCTGTTCAGACTGCATGACTGAACCCTGGTAACTTAGCCTACGGCACATTTGCCCGTAGCAGATCTATCACCGGCTTTTCTGTAGCGCCCTTTGTTTGCGGGTGACCAAATCTCCGAGAACAAACCTGCTGCATTTACTTAAACCCCTCGGAGCTGAATCCCGGGACATTTATCACGCAACAAGTCAACACAAGCGTTAATAATTGATGAAATAACTTTCATTTTATTGATTTTGTCTGTTTGACAGGCACGTCCGCAACAAAAGTTTTCAGGCTGAGACGCTTCTCTTGACAGGAAGTGTCGCGCAGTTCTTAGGCTTTTTGGCTCTTTTACCACAACCATTGACAGTTGAATATTGACATTGGAACACGATTTTAGCCACGTAACATGTGCTATGCCTATTCCTGATACATGGCTTTTGAAAACCTCGGTACCATGTATAGTGATACTACTGTGTAGTAGATTGTGAAACGGTAACTCGCACACAAAAAAATGGCACCCTCTACCGATGCCGATGCTTAGTTTTTACATTCTTGACACTTAAAGATTAAAAGTTAGTCAAGAACTGACACTTTTTACGTAGAAGTTTCGATCGAGCCAATAAGGGAGACCCTATAACCTCCTTGATCTAGCCAAGAAGTAAACTCCTTGATTGTTCTCATGTCTTTACGTATACATGACAATATGGGTACTACAGGAACCTGTAAGGCTGTATTGAAAAGGTGTTATATACAATAATAAGGCGATTGGCTTCCTAAAACGACCCTTTGTACTTCTGAATCTGAAAGAACATTTCTTTCCACAACTTCCCATAATATTGACAAACCGCAATGTACATTTGTACTTGAGGTGGTTTCTACACGCGGTACCGGTCGTGGTGTTGAAAAGGCTGACACGTTTTGCTTATCCCATAAGTTATTAAAGAAAAGATATCCTTTTGAAAAAAAGCGTTGTTCTTTTACTTTTCCATGCCAACATGTAGCGTGACTGGAAGGGCGTAAAGGAGGTCATATTAAAAAGGCACGGTATACTGAAAGACGCTGAAGCCATGCGTGTACTGTTCTGCTTGAGGCGGCAGCCGCACGCAAACACTGTGGTTTGCTCAAATGCTTTCGCTCCCTAAACAGAGATCGCTAGTAGTTACAAAACATATACACACATGTCATTTGTTCAAGTATGTCTTCAATAATAAAAGCTTGTTTAGCAAAGTATTCCACTTCTGAGTAAGTAGTGTTTTCTCGAGCGTAACGTTAACACCATGGAGGTAATACTAATAGTGGAGACTGATTTTCAATTATTCTTCTTTCGCAGTTTCGCCACAGAACGCGAGGCTACGAGACTCCGAAGTTCCAGCGGCAGGTGGACACCAGTACGGGGCAGATGCTGACCACCCCGTTCGGTGACAGCTCTCAAAGTTCCCAGATGAACACTCCTCCCAAATTTGCCACCAGACTGGACTACGTCAACACACAAAACGCGGTGAGATATTGTGTTATGCCTTTATGATACCGGTACACATTGGTTTTAAACATTCTTTAGTTTTAAGGAATACCGGTAGCTCTCTTCCTCATGTGCACTTTTCAAAGACTTCATCTTCTTATTTGCCGGAAATAATTTTTCATTTCATGGAAGAGAAATAGCTCAAACGTTAACCAAGATTAGGGTAACTTAATGATGTACAAAGAACTAAGAAGGCAAATTTTGTGCAATGAAAACGCCCACTCTGCTTCAGACCAACAGAATCTGAAACTCCAGAAAGGGAAGAATTGCAGGTAGCTTACTAGTATCTCCAAGCAGATGTATGGATTAAAGTTTTGGTACATCATGTCAAAACATTTGGTGCATTTTTGTTCAAGAGGTGGGTGCAAAGCCAGTGAAAGGTCGGGAATATTTTTCTTGCACTTCTAACACCTCAGAGAGACTGTGCACAGCATTTCAAAGGCAGAAGTTCTTGGACATTAGGCTTCCTCCAAATCCTGTAATCAACACCAGTTTTATTTGCTACTACAGTAGTGAAGACATCTACTTGTAGATTTTAGCTTTGTCTTAAATCCATGAGCCTACTGGGCATTTCAAATCCCCCATGATAGGCTCCTGAGCTGTGGGCAGTTTAGACTCCATCCTGTTTTGACAACAGAAGTTGCCATGAGATGGGGGGTGCCTGGTGTCCTCCTCCCCTCAGTACCGGTCACTCGAGCCTGCATGTATCGACTTCAGCCTGTTTGTCTGCCCTAAAACACGAAGGCGCCCGATCCTTTACACATAACAAACCTTTGTTTTGGGGATGCATGGCCGCAAAGGTTTCTCCTCTCCAGAGAGAATACAGCATGTTTGGTGCGGCCTAATTGCTGGAAAGAAGACACCAGGTGTTGGTTCAGAGGCACAAAGGAAGAGATGACATGTTATATCCCTGCTTGTCAGATAAAGCCTGCACTCAGGTGTTTCCTCCTGAAAATTGTCACACTATCCCCTAATTCAGTACGCTTCAGCAGTGGGAATTACCTCTTTGCCTTTATATTGCATGACTGCATGATAGGTCAAGAGAGACTCGATGATAACCTAATTATCCTAAGGCTTTTGGTACCGTGGTAAAACCTTTTGTTCATTCAGTTAATAATAAACGTTAACAGATTTGGAGAAACCTTAGAGAAAAAATGTGAGTTATTATATTGCAGGATGTGGCACTTCCAATGAAAAGAAAACTTGTTCAAGTGGCACTGGCTCTCTTGTTGAAAATGCTCAAATTTCAGTTTGTTTGCCCAGCTTTCCTGGCAAGTAGGCCACCCCATTAGCCTTGTGTGAACACAAAAGAGCCAGGATGTTTGTTGGTCTAAAAAAAAATCTCCAAAATCTGGTGTTTTTTCAGACAGTGCAACTTATTTTGGCTAAGAGCAGGAAATGATAGTACAATACAATAAACAACACTATGGTACATAATACTAAGTACAGTAGTTCAAAACAACTTTTTGATCGAGACAGCATTGCCGCTGGTGGGACCCCAAGTATATGTATTAAGTACTATGTAGTTACTAGTATATAAGTGCTGTACATTACATTTCTGTTCTCTGCAGCACAAGTTATGTACTGGTACAATTCACATGAAACGTTTCAAGGATCTAAAATGTTTTGAAGTCAACCCTTAATAATTTTGCCTGTTATATTCAGAGCTAGACAGGCTTATCCAAACTCTCAGTCTTTCAAGCTGTTATGCTCTGTTCACCTGACAGTTACCCTATCAACTGTTTCTATGGGAACTGAATATTATTGGATTGCATTACAGTTTTAATGGAACAAAGTTTATGTAATAGTAAATACATCTGACAAAAGAAACAGTACAAATGCATCATTGACCTCAGCTTGCTGACAGCTTTCACAACATACATTTTTCAATGTAATACATTAATGATACTAAGGTTCGCATTCAATGACACCTGTCTGTTTGTTTGTTTCCAACAGAAGCGGTATGACCAGGTCAACCCGTTTTCCTGGCATGACAACAGGAACTCCTTCCAGGACCATGGGGAGTACTTTGGACATGTAAGCCACTTTACACAATTATCATGGATTTTCGAACAATTTCAAGCATTATGCATTGAATTTGAAGCATTTGAAGTATCAATAACAGGTATGTCCTATGTTGTTTTGCTAAAACAATCTGCAACTTTAGAGCTAGATAACCATGAATATGGTGACTAATAATATTGTGACAGTTCCAAGTTTTCATTGACATTTTTTCCCTGTAGGGTCTAGGAAAACAGTCTGTGGTTCCTGTAGAGAAGAGTCTGCACTACTCCAACAACTACATCCGCTGGACCACGCGCGAGGGCAGCCACACCGACAACCTCAGCAGCTACGCCGTGTCCTTCCGGGGTGACCGTGACACCGAGTCCCCCACCAGGCGGCGTTTCCCGCGTACGTACAGCGAGCCGCGGCAGGGTGGGATCAAACTGGACACAACCACCACTGACTGGAGTAACGAGAGCCACAGGACCCCGCTGCAGGTCATGGCATCCGCACAGGAACCCTTCTTACCACACAACCCATGGAGATACTCGTACAAGGCACACGAACAGGGCAGGAATCCCCTGTGTATGCAGAACTAGGAGGTTCAAACCTCCAAACTATTACGTACATGACTATACATATCTTAGCATGAAGAATCATACATACATGCATTATTCAACATATCTTCTCTAATATTCAAGAAATTGCACTTTTCAGTTAAACTATTTTTGAGGTTACAATCATGAACATCTGAGTTTGATCTTTTGATAAAGATGATAAAATAGTAACATATCAAAGTTTTGGATGATGACAATAATTTGAATACAACAGCAAACAAGTAAATGTTGGACATAGTGGAACAACATGAAACTAGTTACTGTATATATATATATATATATCATAATTTATGTATATGTATATAAAGCTGCTTGGTGTCAACAAATTGATTACTGTGACAAACATTATATCATTTTCAGTTGGGTATATAATGTGCATGCTATCAAAGGAATAAATGCATCAATTTTGTATCAATGGTTGGTAACTTTGTGATCCCTAAATGAGTCTGTCATTTGATCCTTCCATAAATAACAACCATGAAAAGCAGACAACTCAAAGTTTGATTTACTTGGTTTATTTCATAACTTCAAATAAGAGATTGAATGTTTACATTAGAACAGTCAAAATTAGAACTTTAAAACCTGCACATTTTCATCTTTACAAATCATTAAGTTTCTTGTTGAGCTTATTTTACTTTACCAATGGCCTACAGGAACAGTGAAAATTTGAATCATGAACCTATAAGGCAATCGTGTGCTTACACTGACATGTTACCTACAGAATGGGTACAAGATTTTGCATAGAATAAATAAGACTTTATAGATTAATGCTTAGTGTGTAGCCTGGGTTATAACACTGACAAATATTTCTGTACCATTTTTTGCCAGATTTGGCAGTAACTGGTACTTTCTTTATCATGGGCAAAGAAACATTAAAATTACATTCCACCCAGTCTTGGAAAAAAATGTTCCTCTAAAGTAAAACAATTTTCCCCATCACTCCAAAGTCACTTTAAGCTCATGTCAAATTTATAGATTATACAGAATACTTGTATTATTTAGGTACAATGGAAAAACAATGTGATCTTGGAAATGTCAAATGTAACTTCATTTTGTGTAAACTCTGGGGAAATCCTACCTACAAATAACAACCTTGCTTCCTCCGCAACAAGGGAGATACAAAATGTAGCAGGAAACCTAGGGTGGGTTTATAGTTGGAATTTCAAAATTATATTTTAAATTTTCATTCCTACCAGTGCTACCCATGACAGGGATATCGATGCCTGTTAACATCAGATGGAAGGCCATACCAACAACATAGCACCTTTGGCCTGAACTTTCTTCAGTTCAAAACTGGCATTGACATTTTGAAAATTGCTTACTTTTTGTGGGTATACATGTACGTACTATGTTATCTGATAATGGCACAATAATAATACTCTTGGCATGCTTGTACAGTTTTCAACTTATATACAGATTAGGACCACACAGGATCCTATACACATATGATTAATCATAAATTACCGGACAACAGGTCCAGAACAAATTACGGGATTGGACAATAAATCATATAAACCTTGTGAGACTCAACACATGGGTAAGTAAGCCCCTTTCACAGGTCATCACTCCCATGTGAACACTCTGTCAAACCTATGACAGTTCTGTCATGCCTCATGGTCTTGCTAAAAATACCATGACATGTGAAATAGATGAAACAGAGATGAAACAAAGATTATGTATGAGATACAAGTCACATCAAGGACATTATAGTCTGTATAATGGTCACATGTTCACTGGAGAGGGAAATGCTTGTGTTGGAAACTGTACCAATCTGCAGGCTTCAATATGAAGCATTGATGAACTCTGGGTAGATTTGGGAGAATGCAGGTTACATGTAGTACCTGTGGCTGGAACTGTCTAGCACCAACAGTAGGAAAATGACAGCCATGTTTTAATGGTGCACCTGTGATGCACATAAAATAAATATGCTCTTCAGACTATGTTTCACAACGGGTCATGGTGAATTATCTCTTGGATTCAGAACTAACTTGGTTCCTGAACTTCTTTCCATGATTCATGTATTAGGTACTGGTACATTTCCAGGTTACATGCATTAAAAGTAGGGGGAAAAAATTGGAAATTGTCAAGTTGTGTCTTGTCTGCAAAAAGGTTTTGAGATCTTTCTGAAAAAATGGGGCGGAGAATTCAATGTATTACATTGAAGAAGCCAGAGTGGTGGATGCCTTTAATACATGTATATCATTTTCTTCACAGGATATGCAAGGATTGACAGAAAATCCATTTTTCCAACTCTGTTTCTCACTTTCTGCAAGGCAACTTTAAATGAAGCAAGGAATCTTTGCAATTGCTTCCAAGCAGCTTGGCAATCAGTATCTGGTCACTAATTCACACTTCAGTAGTAAGAAGGGGGTAGCAGTGCCAATATCAAATAGTATGTTGGTTCTTTTCTATGGGTGTGTCTGTTCTATCATGTTATGTGTACTTGGCTGTGTTTGATCTACTGGAAAGGATACTGCAGGCTTCCCCCATGCAAAATTGTACCATGTTCAGTCACACTTTATATTTCCGCATAAAAGTAGCAGATATAACAAGAAACCTTCAAATTTTAGTTATATGGAAATGAAGGGAAACAAACTTTCCACCTCAACTAGGTTTTTAATTGAAATCTTCAATCAAGGAGCTTCAAACCACAGCTCCTTGCTTCAATAACTACATTTGAAACAATGTAGAATCATTGTATAAATCAACATCATTAAAATGTCTTTTTACACTGTCAGTATCAAAGTCATTGAGAACTTTTTATGCTTAACTTTCTGCAAATTTAGTAAGTGGTTACTTTTATTATGACGTAACTGGTTCATTTCAATGTTGTCTATGACAAGGCTGATCTGTTGACACCCTGCCAAAGGTGTATACATGGAGCCTACATGACAAAAACCTTCTCCACTTGGTCAATAGTGTAGGTTTCCTTGGTACGAGGACAGACCACCTTGCCTCCATTCTCAGCAGCCATGGCCAGCAGTGCCTGAAACATGGGAAAAGGAAACAATAAGCTGCTAGAATTCCTCTATAGACACAATCTAAGACCCCCACTGCCTTTCTGTAAAGGAGTTAAAGCCCTTGCTAAGTTAAGAAAACATACACTAGAGCCACACAGAAAATCCAAACCCCACCTAGTGTTAGCACGTGGTACTGCATGTAAATTGTACAACAGATATTAAAAGTACATTTTGTGGTGTGCTCTAGCACAAAAGATTCTGAAGAAAAGAAGTGATTCTTTGTTTTAAATGGAAGGTTTGAAAGGAAGTCTTGTAGGGGGCTAGCCAAGTCTCACAATGAACAAGAAAGAATTTTATAGACAAACAAACATATTGGGGAAAGAAAAACAAACAAATAGTACACATTTAAAGCTGAAGTTGATGATCAATACTTACAGTTTCTCCATAAACGTTGCCATTAGGCATCATCATGGGGGGGTTGTTCTCGTTCATGATCTGTCCGGAGATGTTACAGATGAGGCGGGACTGGGCGCAGTGCGAGAAGGGGAGGGGCTTGGCCAGCTCGTTCATCTGCTTACTGCACACAGGACACTGCGAGTTTCTGTAGTTACTCTCCGGGTCTCGGTAACAGTGGCTGAGGGGGAGTCAAGGATATGACAACTGTGGAAATAAAACTACATGTATTAGAAGTGTTTCATCTATTCAATGTATGATTTAAAACAAAGCATTTTTTGCCCTGTGTTACAATAATGCTCATCTATCCAAGAGGTTGAGAATGTTAAACAATTCTTATCATTTTCAGACCTCTAACCTTCTAAGATTCTGCCTCTCAATCTTCCCCCACCCACTTGACAATCAACTTACTCCAGACAAACAAATACTAGTATACAAAACCCACAGCTCAGCCAACCAAAACAATACTTCTTTACCCGGAAGTAACAAGTGTATTGCATCAGATTCAAGCATTTGTTTGAAAAATGTCTTTAACTTTTTTTTAAGGATACGGAGTTTTGAGAGAGGACAGGCCAGCTTGAAGAGTTAGACAGAAGACCGAGTAGTTGCTAATTTGATGAATCTTGAAATTCTCCCACTGGAACTGCTGCACCATGGCATCCCATCTAGAGGGCTCATACAAATCCTGGAAAACACAAAAAATGGAACTAAATTGTAGCAACTATAATGTACAGAGACAGTCTATATGTTTGCTCCCTTTAGAAACAAGTCTGAAATTAAATGAAAAGTGAATTCAAGACGCCAGCAGGACATTAAATAAGAACAATTTAAACTTGAGGATATCGTTGTATTCTATCTTGGCATGTACCTGTGGGTCTTCTAGACTAATTTTTTGTATGAAATGTCTCTGTGATGACTTGTAAAAAATAGTTCAAAGACAACTTTAAACTAATATACTGGTAGTCAAGTTAGTACAAAGATTATCCCTGGAAACATAGGCTGGTGTGTAACACCGAAGGGCAGTTACACCAGCTATACAGATACAGATGATAACAGATCACATTGACATTCAAACAGTATGAGGAACACTCATCAATGCAAGGGGAGGCACTGCATCGTGTTGTCTCCTCTTTACTGACTTACCTTATAAGGCTGGACCTGTGTGTCAGGGGGATAGGCCAGAAGTCCCATGATTCTTTGCACCTCTGGCATCTGTTCTGGGTCTACTTGGGAGAAGTATTTTCTAGCATGTCTGCAAAGAAAAACAGATTTAAATTGGAAAGTTAAACAAGAGAAAGTATGATATTTTGCACTAGTAAAAAGTTTTCCTTAGTACCTTAGAAATTAAGAGGGACATGATTTTGACAATGTTGTTGAATAACCACTTACTTCACGGCATCTAGTCTGTGGTTTCCTCGAACTAGCTCGATAAATTCTTGTGTTCGCAGATTAAACTCTAGGGTGCTCTGAAATGAATGGAAAAGACAAAAAAATATTTTTGAGTTAACATGAATGTCTGATTACATTTAGACTACATGTGAGAAATTCAAAGATTTTGCCTACATGAAATTTGAAAAAGAAGAAAATGTAAGCATGTTTGATATGAGAAAGTTTGATGTTTTCTCCAGTTACAGTTTGCGCAACAGAAATATGTGCATGTTCATGTTAAAGTATATATTTACCATCTTAGTGACCACTGAAGTCAGAGTAAGCTGTAGACAGATAAAATTGGGGTCAGGGTTTGCTTCTTATTTTGGAACAGGGGTAAGAAATCAACACTGGTGCACCCAAGGATAAAACAAGGAAAAAAGGAACAACATTGTATAAAGTAGGTTCCTGTTTTGGCAGAAGCATGGCAAAAAAAACTTGACTGAAGTTGTCCCATGTATGCACATGTTTATCACACATTTGCATACTCAGAACAAGGCCAGTGCTGGGTCTCCTGTCTAAAACTTGACATGTTGAAGTGGTGAACTGTTCTTCTAGTGCTGCCATAGGTCCTGACACCACCAGAACTTCTTAGACTTCTTTATGAGGTAGAAAGGAGAAACTTTCCCCAGGTAAGTAATCTGCATTACATTTAAGACCATTCTGTCCAGTTTTTTGTATAGATCCAGATATGAAACCCTGGTCTATTCTCACCTTCATCTTACGCAGTTTGGACTTGTTGTCGTGGCACCAGGCTAGACAGGGGGCAGTCTCATGCCTCTTCAGCGACTCCTCCACTTCTTTAGACACCAGGAACAGGTCGATGTTTGTGTAATCCTGGCGGCACACAACAAAAACAGACAGGCTTGAATCAAAAATTAAAATTAGGACCAATTGCAACCTGTGTAGGAGAATTGTAATTGTCTCTGGACCAGTGCCGTGGTGGAAACAAGAGACAACAGCTAAATCAAACCTACAGGTACTTTTCTATGAAAACATTAGCAAGATCATTAGCACAGGCAAAATTCACATTTCTCAAGCTGAATGTGCCGTCTTAAATCTTACATTAAATCTTACAGTAAAACTGTAGTAAATATCAAATTCAGAAGCAGACTTGTACAAATTAAACTCGAAAGATATGACTGCATTTTCCACCTCTATTCCCGAGTGCTTGGCCAGCTTGATTGCCGTGTTGTAGTAGCCACATCTCAGGAAATGTTCCACCAGCATTCTGTCCAGCCGTTTCTTCTTCCACTGGATAACCGTGCTCGGCTGGTCACTGTCGTGCAGCTTCAGGTGTTCAATCCGACGCTTGCACACTTTTGCCGAATCATCCTCGGCTAAAATGGCTTCCTCTGCCTTTGATGGTAACAACAGTTATAAGACACATTATACATGATGGGAGTGAGATTATTGTCAAGTTAGAAATTAATCTACTAGTATGATTGTTACTCTAGGTCTAATTAGCACAATTGTTTCTATAGCAAATTCTGATGGAAAAAAATCAACAAAGAAAACAGCACCTCATACACATGGACACTGGAAGGGGATGTTAGATCTATTTTTGGAGTCAGAGATCAACCTAAAAACATCTATATCTACTTAGTCTTTGCAATGATTTCTCAGCAATGATAATCATACCTTTCTTTTCAGTCCAGTCAGTTTTTCTATCACTCCATCTAGTAGCCCGACAACTTTGCCAACGGTTGCAGAACTTCCTTCCAGACATTTTTCCAGCTCGGAAGTTGCCTGCATCACATGGGACACTTCCCGGTCAATCGTCTTCTGGGCGACCCGGAACTTCTTGTTCAAGATCTCATAAGGGACCTGTCAATATGGTACACAATCTGTCGTTAATCACAATCATTATGCATACAAAAATGTAACTTCCAGGTCTATTTCCAATATACCACAAAAAGTCCACAAGTCAATCAAAACAAAGAAAGAAGAATGGTGGCATTAATGAATGAATATAATCGAATTGCAAAATAGTTATTGCAATATGTCACTGCAAAAAAAGATGACATCACATGAAAAGGAGCCAAGTGTCAAATTGTTACATTAAAAAAAAAAACTTTGTAGATTGTAGTTGTACCATGAATTCTCTAGATTGTTTTTGTTTCAATTTCAAATGTAAAACTTTCAATCCTTCCTTGTACTTTCACCCCTTTATTTGTTTTGGATCAACCTAAGCAGCTGCTAACAATTTATTTCATCTTGATTCTTGACATCATTATATAGCAGCATATGCCAAGGAAATATCCTAGATTTCTGAAACTACGAGGCATGGAGGTTGGTTAGTGCTCTTCCATCAAGAACAGCCAACCGCCTACCTACCAAAATTATGTCATTTACTAAATTTGTAATGTCACAGTATGGACACTCTTGGTCATAACAGAACTAACACTGAAAGTGATATATGATGATCTACATAATCTAAATTTTGATTAACATACATGCAAGCTAGAGTTGAAGGGATGTTTTTTTATCTGCACACTATGGAATGCAACTGTCAGTTGTTGCTGCTGCATTCCTGTTCCTGTACTGTAACTAATTCAATCCAAATGTGAAGAAATGTCACCACAGTCGACAGTCCACAAACAGAATATCAGACTCTGGGGTCAACATCAGCAAATAAAATGATGGATAACTACTGCGGTTGCTTTGGGGGGAAAGTATGGATACTGCTGGGAATAATAAACTAATCGGCGAAGTGCTAGTGGCAGTAAATAACGGAGCCTTCTTGGTTGTTCGTGCTCGGAGTTTGAAATTAGTGGGCGTGTGCGTGCGTGTTGCTTGTTGTAGTGCGCCGGCTCTCTTCTGTTGTCTGGAGGATAATAAATGCTCATCGATACTGGTGGTTGCCCTGTGGATTCTGGAAATCGACCCTCAGGGTCAGAATATCAGGGTTTAAGAAGTCCCGTTAAACCTTATTCGTGTGATTCTCGGATCTCTCTAGTCTAAGAACATTGCATCACGTAATTTATTTGGCCGCGCGCCGCGCCATGCTATGATTTTTGGGGATCCCTCCGTCGGTTGCAGAAAACGGTGAGTTAGGATCGTGAACTCCTTTACTCCATCAACATGTTTTCTAACAAAGGATAAGATTATGGATGCAAATATGTCCTAAAACGGCTAAAAAATCCACTAACCTTGAGAGACGAATGCTCGAGCGCCTTCACTCCAGACGCCATAGTTGACGGTTCCGTACTTGGAAGAGACCACTCTTAGTAAAGGGACCATTTCGTTCGATAAATTTTGCGACTGATAGTGTATCCACACTATATGATTCTATTTGGTTGAAAAACAATTTTTATAATATTTCTATGCACTTTTCCGCTTTGAAAAGTACATTTTAAGCGATTTACTCGTTAAGGTACATAGATGTCCCAAAACCGGATGACACCCCCCAGAAATAATATTCCAGTCTGATTGAATCCTGGGAGGGCTCAATAAAAATATAAAACCATTAAGTTTTATATTTCATCCCTCAAGAAGCATAAAAATTGTAAAGAATAAGTTTTTGTGGGTAAATTTTATCATCTGGTTGATATTTTTGCACATTCTTCGAGAAATGAGCAAAATCTATCGATTGACAAGCCTCGTTTTGAAACCGATGTTTGGCCGACGATCATCATATTGATCTCAGTCTTACGAGCTGTCTCCTGGTCCGGTGTAAGATTTATTTCGAATTCTGCCGTTTTCGAGCGGTTATCTGTGTGCAGGACAAGCCCCGAGAAGCGACTCCCGTCCGTTTGTTGAGGAGTAGAGCCCGTCCCCGTGGTTGCGTGCCCGGCTGGACGCATGCGGCCCATTGTCTCCGGCAGCGCGTGGTGCTAGCGGCGTGCTGCGACCAGCTTCGATTCTGCAGGGCGGCTCGAAAAAACGGCTTCGCTTTCCTGCCCAGTGACAAAGGTTAGAGTTGACATTTTAGATAATGACGAAAAATGTAAGCTGTGTATTTTTGGCACCCCTCCGTGTGTCTATTTTTCTGGCACTGCAAATCTAGGTGTGTAGCTAAAAATTTCGGCGGGCTGACCTGTGCAGTGAAAGTACTGTCACAAGTCTTACTGACGCGGCCTACTAAAATTAAGTCCAAAATAATCATATTTTTGCAAGAATCCCAAATGTTTTACTGATTATTCAATGTGTACTTAAACACGGTTTCCTTAGGTGACGATATTCCGTTTAAGTTCGTGATTCAGTGCCCGTTTTCCGGTATATTTGCGACTCACAACAATGAAATGCAACATTGTGGCAACTTCCAGTACATGGAAGGACTTCGCGGGGGGTCTCCACGTCCATGGTAGCTCTCGCTCCAATACTTTTGCTAATTTGGCTGAGGAAATCCGGACAAGTTTTCAAAATCACCTCCGAGCGGAGGCCGCAGATATTTTGTTGACGGTTAGTCTGTGTGTACGGGAGGTGTAGGAAAGGCGTGGGGAGGTGAAGCGCGGGTGTTTGGTGGGGATATTTCCGCCGGGCTCGAGGCGGGGCCGGGGCACTTTCATCCCTGATTCAGCACTATGGTCGGAGCTTCGCAGGGGGTCGGCCTGGCCATGTTGGCTGCTAAGTGCTCAAATTGAACTAGCCGAATCAGAGGTATGACATTCAAAAGTAGACACTCCTTACTTTCAGTTTAGAAGAGATGAGACCAAACCCACATGAAGTACAACCTGGGTAGTTAATTCTGGCAAGTTTTGGTGTAGTTGAGGAATGGTCGGTGGATGTGTGGGTGGGGTTTAGGTGGTTGCCCTGATTCAAGTATGTCATACTTCGCAGGGGGTCCCTCCATTGTGCGTGTGTCTGTGCAGCAATTGCTGGTGTCCATGTCAGCCTGTTGCTAGTAGTTATTTACTTATTACACTGGTTCTGTGCATGTTTGGGAAATTTGTTACAAGAACGGTTTGTTGTGTAAACATTGACATTGATTATGTTTATGATTTTGCATAGTTGGCACGTAATTGTTGCTAGGTATTTCCTTTCGTTCGTCATTTTAAAAAATTGCCAAAATGGGTAACTGAACTAATTGGCAATGATAATGTTACACTATAATGGTTGGGTAGTTCTAGTAGTAAGACTGAAATCATACAGGGGTCCAAAAATGATTTTTTTTTTTTGTTTGAACTTAAGCATAAGTAATGAGCTAACCAAGTTTGAACTCACTGCTAGAGTGTTTGCTAATAAGCACTTATAACCTACATGGCAGGTTGAGTTTTATAAACAGTGTAACTCAACAATGTACTGTTTATTTTGTTTAGGGTCAGGTCCTGGTTAAGGGGCTAGGTTTTTTTTTTTGTTAATTAGGAATTAAATAGTTGTAAATCATTGTATAACGATGCTAACATAAGGTTCATTTTGTAATGATTAGAAAAAAAATACATTTATTGTGATATATTGAAAAAATGAGGACTTCAAGGAGTCGGTAGCAAGGATAAGACAAAGGAAATTTACTTCATTTACAAAGTGACAATTCCGTAGAATGAATTGTATTTGTAGGAATTAAGAAGTTTTCCTCACTCCAGGTCTGTAGTTAACAGGCACCTTGAGTCAGTAATTGTTACTCAAAAGATTTTGGGACAGTTTTTCCTCTTTGTAATTCAGTGAACCAATTATGTGTAATAAAATATATCTTTCAAGATGTGTCAACATTGTAAAAAAGACTTCAACTTGGAAGGTGTGAGAAATATGATGCTATGCAACCTGACTTGTTGTCAAATGTAATATGTGATCTTGAGTTGCTATCACATATCAACTAGTACAACAGTGCATGTGCTAAATTAGCATATCTTATTTGATTCTGTCCAGAGAGAGTCGTTTTCTACAGTGCTAATGAGATTAGCCTAAATTTCATTACTGTCAGTGTCATATTTCTGCCCTGATTCTCATTTTTGAAAGTATATCTAATTGTTGATTGCAATGCCATAATTGTCTGGCTTTCTGTAATATTTTAAGAGTAGTAATAAGACCCTTTTAAGAGTAGTAATAAGACCCTCACATGTGTCATGTGTAATATAGATCATCTACAAAAAGAAGAGTAAGGTTAAGGTTGTTTAAGCTTTGCAAATTGACTATCAGTTTTAATGTAAAAATAGCTCTTGTTTTGCAATTTTGTTTTGACTTTGTGTTGCCTTGTCAAGGTCATGGCATAAAATGGGTGGCAACAAGGAGAGTTTAAACATTTCAGAACATATTTTTTATTATGTGCATGGAGTGAGAAGTAATGTTAATTTTACAGTGTTGTGTTGAGTTGGTTATTGTGATTGTGAAGTCATTTAGAACAGCTTAGTGCCTTCAGTGCTTAGTCAGTTAGTGTCTAGTGAGAAGCGTTTAAGTTAAAGACAGGGTAATGTGACAATTGGTACATAAGTTAAGACAGGGTAATATGACCATTGTGTAACGTTACATGTACCAATGATTGCCATTCTCTTTACACAGACCACGTCATTATAAAGCTATGATTTTTCATTTGACTGCATTTCAGTCAGCAGCAGCAGTAACTCCAGACATTTTGTGCCAAGATCAAATCGCATTGTTCGACCGGTATAACCACCTTTTGGCACAATACACCAGCATTGCAGGATGGCTGGTTATAACTTACATTACATCAAAGGACCTGTCAGTCCTGATTCACGTGACCTTTGCATATCTAACTTAGGTTGTAAAGGCGTTGGTTCAAGTTGCCCAGCCCAGTGAGGGTGCAGCACTGCGTCTGCCCCTATTTTACGTACTGATAATGAGTTTCAATCACCTAATGATAGCCTAGCAAGAAACAAATTTGTGAACACACTTAAAACGGTCCTGTTCGTGTGGCTGTTCTGTTCCCTTTTCTGAGCCAGTAGTAGGTTTTGATAATGTTCACATGCTTGTTGTCAAAAATAATTATTCATGTGTTTTCTAGATATAATTTTCTTCATGAAGTTTCAATTCTAAGTTACTCTCTCTGCTTTCTACCAAGCCTGCAGCACAGTCCCTCAGACTCAGAGCAAGTTCTAGTTGCATTTGTATTGAGCTTGTGTTTTAGCATACCTACTGTAGGCAGATTTAGGTATGCACGTATGAAATATAAACATTGTTAGCAGTAGAGGAAAAGTGCCTCTGATTGCATTTTGAAGATCAGAAGTTTTTTTTTTGTATGTGATTATGATAGATTGCAACAAAGCCATAGGTCAAGGTCGTAGTTTATTTACTGTCCTTGCTCCATGCTTCATTAATTCATATGACTGGTCCAAAAGAATGACGTAACTGTTTAGCACCACCCAGTTCAGGAACTCTAGTGACCTATGGAGAGCCACACCCGCCATTGTTCGTGAGCACAAAGTTTATTCTGTGAATCATAGTTTGTTGACTGCACCTGATACGGTGGGGAATGTCAACTGTTGGGGTCACTGGAAGAACACAAACTATGAAAAAACATAGACTTCAGGGGGGATATTACATAGCAGCCATGACTATTTGCATAATGCTGTGATGTGTAACTTTTAGTATTACAGAAATTCCTTGTTTGGAAGTCAGGTGTTGGCATCCAAGACTGCCCTGTAATGTCTTATATCACACACTAAATTGCTGAGTCACTTTCACACATATTCTTGATATGGTTATTTCTTAGTGTTCCAACTGGTCATTTTGAACTACCTGGGCCACTATCAAACTATCATGTTTGAATTTTTAGCTAGTAAAATTGGTCTATGTTACTGCATGATTCTGAGGAACGGAAAAATTTGCCATAGACAGCTGTATGTAATATATACTGTAGGCTGATTTGATCTTATGAATAAGCAAATTATGATATATTTAGCTTTTACACACACCCATTTCAGCTTTTTTCTTAGCTGCCCTGCTCCTTCGGTCTTCCCAGTCAAGTTTGTCTGTAGAATGAAAAGTTGTTGTAATACTAGTAGTAACTTGTAGGGATATAAAGGATATTCCAGTGTAGCAGGAGACACAAGCCTAAAATCCATGCCGTGCACCAAATTTATCATCATTTATTATCGTACATGCTCGCGGAAGCCTTTAGCTAGAAACAAAACAAAACCCTCTGCACTGTAACTAAGATACCATGTCCTTGCTTGAGGTCAATGCCAAATAAACAGCATCACAGGAACCTGACAGCACCAAAATACAACCTGGATAGGATTGCTCTGTTTGTTTTGGTTGTCTATCCCTCACAAGCTGTATATACATGTTTCTCAGTGGCTTCACTTCCTTGTTAACATTGTGAAGTCACATTAATTTAAAGCCCAAGTTACAGTGTAGTAGTTTTGTTTTTATGAGAAAGAACATGAGGAAGCCGAGTAATTAAGCAAATTGTATGTTATGGAAATGATTAGCCCCTACTGTATTGTTAGGCCAAATGATTATGAAAGGGGAAATTATTGTTTTCACAGTTTTAGGAAGCATTATGAATAGACATTGTCCTGGCAGTGTTGCATGCAATCCAATCTGTTTTTTTCACTTTTCCACACATACATTTTATGTACCCCATTAGAAAACAACATATAATATATTCAACCACCCTAGTGAAGTTTTTTGGCCATTGATTATAGATTGTAGACAAGGTAATTGAAAACATTACTCATATATTTTCATGAATTTTTTTCAGGATTAATACATACCCAGTTTTTGTAGCCTTTGATATGTTGTCTGCATTAGCCTTTGTAGTTTTCGGGGAAATATGTTGTGCTTATACATATGTATCAAGAAAAAAAGGCGAAGGCTTTGTCCCCAAAGCATTTGTACCTATTGGTAAGGGTTCTTCTGATCAAGAAGAATCCTTTTTTGGTTTCATGTTTACCCGGCAAAGTGAACATTGATATATGACAATTTTTCAGTTTGATAGCTGCCAAAAGACAATTTTTAGGTTTTATTGTACCAAATATAGCATGGACCAAAGAATTATGATATATATGTAACTACTAAATACTATATGTATATCAATTGCAGCAATTTCTTACCCTGTACTACTAACACATTCTCTGCCTGTCTTTCTGCCTTTTTGTTCGGATCTATACGTTTTCTCGGACCTGTTCCGTTGGAATGTCTGCTTTCTGTTTTGCGGTTTGGGTTCTGATACCACAGGGTTTGGTGCCTTTTGGACATGCCTACAACATGTGGGTTTCCTAACTGTAAGTTTCGTTCGCGCTACAAAGGCTCTGACGACCCGCGGCACTTCTACCGTGTCCCCAAGAAGCCGGCCGTGCTGCGTGAGAAGTGGCTGGAGGCCATCTGTGACGTGTAGAACTGAGGAGACACTTGTGTCCCAGGTAACATGGCATGAGCTGTATTGTGACGTGTAGGTAGAACTGAGGAGACACTTGTGTCCCAGGTAACATGGCATGAGCTGTATTGTGACGTGTAGGTAGAACTGAGGAGACACTAGTGTCCCAGGTAACATGGCATGAGCTGTGTTGTGATGTGTTCTTCCAGGGCCAAGTAAAAGTACCGGTATGCAGGTTAACTTGCATGTAAAATTGGAGCTGTGCACAAGTATTTCTGAAGTCTACAGAACGTACATTTGTCACCTCACCTGCGCTGGCATATGTAACTACTGGGATTAGACTGAC